TGCCCATTCCTCAAAGAACCCGTTCTTCTCTCCTTCTCCTCTATCTCTCTCGTCTCTGTCGCTCTCTCTCTCTCTCTCTCTCTCTCTCTCGCTCTCGCTCTCTCTCTCTCTCTCTCTCTCTCTCTCTCTCTCTCTCTCTCTCTCTCTCTCTCTCTCTCTCCAGACTTTCCTTCCCCTCTGGACTCGTGGACTCGCGGCCACTGCCCCTCCGAAGACCCTCTCTGAATCGATGACGAATATCGACCGGCGACCGCCCATCGCGACACCGCCTTCCGGCTCCATTGAGGCCGGGTGGACCGAGACGGCGCCGTTCCGGCTGAAAAACGACGAAGTGAATGTTGAAATGCATGCATTTTGATGCTGTAAAATGTTTACCAATCCTTTTTCAAAGCAACCACTGCGCAGGGATCGTGTTGGGATATTTTTCAATGTAAAGACTTTTCTTGGGCAATGGGCATCCGGCATAGATAATGTTGTTTACCCGCCTTACCGGATCAATTTTGGATCTATTCGCATATTTGTTGTCACTGCTTTTTATTCGTGCTTCGCTGAGTTCTGTAGCATCCCGTTCAACGTTGACATTGCGGTACAGTCTATCTTCAGGCGTTTATATTCCAGGGTTTGGTGTTTGATTTTTCAAGTAAACAAACATACCGGGTGTCCACGTCAAAAGTGTACCCAGACTTTTCCCCGTATTTTATCTTAAAAAACATCACACTCACAAACAATTGCCCTCGTTTGAGAGCCAAGGCAATGGCAAAACATTTGCTATGCTTTTCAACTGTGTTCGGCACTCTGCTGACCAGCGCGTGCCGTCTAGAGCAACTGCTCTATAATCTACATGAGCCGCTTTGCGTCGGGCTACCGCCGGCAGACGGACCGTGGCATGTGAAATCCCACAATGCCCCGTGCACTGGGGATCCCATTGCCTAGAAAAAGTTCAGACCATGCCTCTGCACAGCAAGAAGTATCGGTTTGGGTGGCAATGAGGCATGGAGGGGGCCTTATCGGCCCCTTCTTTTTCGAAGACGACAGGGGAGAGACAAACACAACACCGTACCGCTAGAACGCTACGTCTCGGAGGCACTGGAACCATTCTGGCGAGAGCTGAAGCGGAGACGCGGAATCCGTCGCCATGAAGAATGATTTCAACAGGACGGGGCGCCGCCTCACACCGCCAAACGGTCGCTGGAATTCCTGGAGGAGCACTTTCCTGACCGCCACGTCAGCTTGAAAAGCGCGGTGGAATGGGCTCCCCACTCGCCCGACCTCAGCCCTTTAGATTAGGGGAGAGTGGGGCACATTCGTGCAAAAAATGGATAAACCTATATATCTGTTCTTTGGTTAGTGCAATGGCAAAATTGTTGATTGTAGTATGGAAAGGAACTATTGCAGATAGTTTTCCTCTTTAAAAGTTATCCTCTAAAATTATTGCTTCCATTAGAAAAAATGACTTTTAATAACTCTGAACATTTGCACGAAACTGCCCCACCTATGGGGCACATTCGTTCAAGAGGTGGGGCACTTCCGTTCACCCTGCAAAGTTCGAGAAATTACCGGGCATTACCAGAAATTTACCAAAGGAAATTGGCAGGGGGTCATTTCACTTGATTCCTTTCGACAAGAATGCATTGCACAACATATGTAGAAAGAATGGGCTGGCCAACAAGAATGTGCCAACTGCCGGCCTCCGTGACCTCGCCAAGTTCGCGTGAATTGCTCGTCACGACGTCGCAAGCAGTCGAGACTGAGTCAGGCGAACGTCATTAGAGAAACCTACTACAGATAAAGTCATAAATCGCAAAAACTAAAAAAAAATATGCACGAATGTGCCCCCAGGCAGTGCGTACACGAACCTGCCCCACAACGTTATTAGTAATATATTTCAAAATTTCTTTTTGAAAAAATGACACTTTTTCAACAAACAAGTTTGCAGCAGTTCCGTGAATAGAGTGAGCTTCTTCACCCCCAATTTTGAAAAGCTGAACCACATTTCCGAGTCAGGATCACGAAAATGGATGATATGAGAAAAGTTTGGAAAGCTCACGAATGTTACAAATTTGCGTTTTTATCAAGCATGACAGCAGGTACAGTGTTGTCTTCTACGGTGAACGAAGGGCGGCAATGATAGACATATTTCCATAATTTACCTTGAGCTCGTGCAGTCACTCGTGTTCCCATAAACTGCTGAAAACGAATGTGCCCCATGCACGAATGTGCCCCACTCTCCCCTACTTCTTGTGGGGCTTTCTCATGGACTGTGTGTACGCCGGCAATCCAGGGTCGACCCTGGAGCTGAAAGACGTCATCAGCGACGAGATCCGTCGCCTTCCTTCCCACATGGTTGACCAGGCGATCACCCACCTCCAGACGGTCCGTTTGCCGGCGGTGGCCCGACGCAAACGGGCTCATATAGAGCAGTTGCTCTAGACGGCACGCGCTGGTCAGCAGAGTGCCGAACACAGTTGAAAAGCATAGCAAATGTTTTGCCATTGCCTTGGCTCTCAAGCGAGGGCAATTGTTCGTGAGTGTGATGTTTTTAAGATAAAATATGGAGAAAAGTCTGGGTACACTTTTGACGTGGACACCCTGTAAACAAACTGTTCACGAACAAATGTGTTCGCGAACAAGTGACGTCATCGGTCAAATTTTGGTAAACAAACAACGAACAGTTCGCGAACGTTCGTGAACTGTTCGCGAACACGATAAAGAGGGGGTAGATAAGACCACCTCCGTAGCCATTTCGCTCCTGATTGAGATAGATATTGCGGAAAAAGCCAGCGTCTGCGTCTTTACGAACCACAGCGATTGGTATCGGATTTCAAGGTCTTACACCAACCGGTGATCCCTGAGGTCAGGTCAAGTGTCATAAAGTAGGGGTTTGGTTTTTGGTAAATAACTTCGCCACAAATGGTGGCAGAGCGGCGAATATGACACCATCGTGCTCGTCATGGCGAGGCGCGTCGAATGATATGCTTTTTGTTTTGATTGTCTTTTTCGGATGTTGACCTCAGGTCAAGGTCAGGTCAAAGCCACTTGGGTCACAAAGCTGCATGGAGGATGTCATGCTGCATATGTGGCAGTTCTTTCTGAGTCAATTGATGGCTCAACCAACTCGCTAGCTCAATTTGATCGAAAGTTATTAGCGAAAAGCTTCTACTGCACCAAACAACCTTAGTGGCGTCTTATATGACGTCATGCAAGGTTCTGCACAATTTAAGCCTCAGCGTTGCAAGAATAATTATGAATCACGATTCCATGTGCTTTATATATGACTAGTGCATTTTTCACATGTAAAACATGCCTGCAGTCATGTCTGCACCGCATGATTACAATTGCTCGAAAGATTTCAGAAATGATGACTTGTTCATGAACGTTCATGAACGTTCACGAACTGTTCGTGAACAGAGAATCGTTGGTGAACATGTGGCCTTGAATGCCAAAATTCGTAAACTGTCAAATAAACAAACAAAGAAACATTGTTCATGAACTGTTCATGAACAAATATACAAACACCAAACCCTGTTAGGTACTCGTATTCCACGAAGCCCTCTGTTTTCTACGCTCCCCAGTCCCCATGCATAGTTATTTTTCATGTCTTTCTTGTTAAGACTCGAAAAATCGAAATTTTGATACGAACTTTGTTTCGGAAAAGGTGCTAAATACTAAGTTTAGCCTCTTCTTCTTTAGTGCTAATACTAAAAGGTGCTACCACATGTGCCTGTCAGTGAGTCAACGAAAGGTGTGGCCGATACGATCGACTATAATTTAGGCTACGGCACAGCATCAATAATTCTTCTGTATGTTCGGGATGAGATTCGTATAAAAACTAAGCATCGACCGTCCAGTCCAGTTGCAATGCCATTGCTCAGCCTTGACAAAACAGGCTAGTTACAGGCCATTGAGGTAACCAATTCGCTCATTGCTTTGGCCCATATCAGTGCACTGAATGGCGCCTGTTGAGGAGACAACGAGACAGCCCACGGATGGTCTCGTTACGAAACCAAAAATGATACCTCAGACTATTTCGTTCCACGGTCCCTCGGTCCCAACCAGCAGCGCCTACCGGGCTCCGTAGCGCCCTGACGTAGGCCGTGGTGCAGCAGAGGGCGCTCTGGCCAGCGAAAGCACGGCCCGGTACCGTTATAGATGTCCCTCGAGTCGGAGGAGCCCCTCCTGGCTCAGCTTTAGGTCACGGCAGAGCACACCACACCAATTTGCGCAGACCACATCAGTCATGCAGTCACAATCAAGATTATCAAACATATAGTCCCATTAAACTACTTATAGGATGATAGCATGAAAAATGCCGCTACCACGCGGACCTCCAGAGGCAGAAGGGTGTTAATCACAAACGATATCGTCTTTTTTAACGATATCGTCTTGTTTTATCCATTTTTTTACAAGAATATGCATGAAGAGTGTAGCTGTTCTGTTACATGGATCGTACCTTTCGTCGATCCGTGTCCCCCAAAAATGCACGGGCGCTTTTTACGCCTCTCCTCAGGGCCCTTGTTATCTTAATTTTTGGACAGGATGACGATAAATGATGACGCAAAAGTTTCGTCAAGAATAATTACAAAAGTATGTCAGTCATTCAGTTACCGTGACCTGATTCTGGTTTTGTCAGATCACCAGGTAGGTATGATGAGACAAACGGCACCTATGTAAAGGAACAATTTCATGTCGGATGACGTCAGATTATACTTATACACTGCTCTGCAAGATGCAAAATGAACGAAAAAATACTGACCCTTATCTCTTCTTCAGTAGGACACTAAGCCTCATATGGCATCATCAAGTTCTATTTCATCACGAAACGAAAAAAGGTAGACACTATTTTTTAGCTGACCTCAGATATCTCTCCTACCATCCCTACATTCCCCTCCGCCGCCCCGGTTCGAGAACCTCTGCCCCGAACGGGGCACGGTCCGAGTTGAGGACCTCTGGAACTCGGGATCGATGTGGCGGTGCCGGTGCGCCGGTGGCGGCGCCCGCCGTCGGTACAGACGAACTGACGAACCGTCGGAGCCGACGGAGCCGACGGAGCGGCGGCGAGACGCGAGAGAGGTCGCGGCGCGGCGCGGAGGCTCACTACCGGTGCTGAAGTCTAGCGGAGCCGGGTGGGGTTAAATTGTCTGTGGAGTTAATGTGTCTGGGTGGTGTCTAGCCGCGATAAATGACGTGAATGGGTGTCTAAACGGCTTCCTTTGACCGCCAGCACAGCCGAAAAGCCGACGCAGTGAACGGGTGAAGAGGCCGACCAAAAGGCTCCCGGCAGAAGCCGTGGAGAAGAGTGGAGTTTGCGAACATGCCGCCGTGTTCCCCTACGAGGTAACAACCCTCTGAAGTCGCCAAACTGTGTGTCTTCTTGGAGAGGCAAGAGGTAATCGCTGGAGTTAGGCACGTGATAGGAAGGACACCCACAGGAGGATAAAGACAACAGTAACAGCGGTCAGCGACCGACGGGCCGGCCAGGTCAGTAACGGGTGCCATATGGGTCAGACACCGGTCAGTGTGTGTGATAGGGACTGAAATGTGGGATAGGTGGGTGGACTGGAATGTGTTTGACGGGACTATGTGAGGATGGGTTAGACAGAGGACTGGCGAATCTGTTAATTCATGCGTGTGAGAGGAGATTGACAATGAACTAATTGAACGAGAGTGATAGGATTATTAGCGCTTGGAGAGAGAGAGAGAGAGAGAGAGAGAGAGAGAGAGAGAGAGAGAGAGAGGGAAAGAGAGAGAGACAGAGACAGAGACAGAGGACAGAAGACAGAAAACAGAAGACAGAAGGCAGAAGGCAGAAGACAGAGAGAGAGAGAGAGAGAGAGAGAGAGAGAGAGAGAGAGAGAGAGAGAGAGAGAGAGAGAGAGAGAGAGAGAGAGAGAGGAGGGAGCTTGCTGAATGAAATGCGTTTTCAATGACATAAATGCGTCGTTGGGACCGATTGGTAAAAAAGTGCTCCTTCCGAACTTTTAGGTATTCCGAATGAGCCTTCCGACCTACAAATTTAGATGTTTATGTTATCAAATAATTGGATGGATTCGGATGCATTGATGGTGTGCGCAATTTTGACACAAGATGGGCACAATTACAATGCTTTTAATGGGCGATAGTTACACTCAATATAATCTATAGCTCATGGGCCATGGCAGTGCGCTGAGTGTTGACTGTTGTGCAGGTCTTACTGTGGCCACTGGGTGCGCAGTGGGTCCCCCCCCCCCCCCTGTCCGTTATGAGTCACCTTCGCCTGCTGAGTCGGCACCATAGCCCTCGCTATGTGTGGCCATTCCACATGAGTCAATAACACGGCGAAGCAAGCCGAGGGCGCGACAGTGGAAAGATCGATCTTATTATACAAATAGTGCAGCGAACCGACGTTCTGGCGAACTATAAGACTGTTGCCCGCTTTCTCGAAGAAAGAAGCGCCTCAGAGTTGGCAGGAAACAGGCCGGATAGGAGGCTCGAATCGGTCCGAGTGGGGATTTGGACGGGTGACAAATGCTACTGAAATGTTTGGAATTATTGGCAAATGATGCAAACTGCAAATTGGGTGAATGCAGACGATGCTAAAGGCGAGTTCGCCACCTAAATAAACAAGGCAATTCAAACCCTGCATATTTTCCAGCTCCAACGCAACGTTGACCCTACAGCTTCACTCCAATAAACGCCGCCGTTTCCCCACTTACCAACGCTCAAGCTCTGCTAATATTGAACTTCCCAGCCTCGCTCGCCATTTGACTGAAACTGCGCTGAATAACCCATGCGATCCTTTACCTCCCTTCATAATTAAGCTCCCGTATCGCCGCCGCCCTCAAAGACCGGAATTCAGCCATACAATGGCGTCCGAGAACTCTCATCACCCAGTGTCAAAGGCTCGATTGAGACTATCTCTGGCGCCATCAGAGTCCTGTGTGAGTATCTGATGAACCGTTGAGCGGGATCATCAACTCGTCAGTGCCATCTGTGTCGATGTCATACTCCAGACGGTCTGATTGTTCGGAAGTGAGGCCAGCTGTCAGACCTCTCCGACTAAGTTCAGCATCGATCAGACGATCCGCTCGGACAATTCGATTTGAGAGTTGAGGCTGGTCTCAGTTGGAGGCGGCGTGCTCTGCATGTATAACAGACATATAAACGTCGAGCGTACAACTGTACAGATGACGAGACGCGGAGACGTTTACTTTTGGAGATGTTTAGAATGCTTCGAAGGTATGATATACATATCTATTCGTGGCATTATTGGCATGTGTATGTAGGTAATAGGTATGGCTGTAGCTGTAGTGTAGTCACAACTTGCTTGTCCATCAAGTGGTATCTGAATGCATATTAGGTATGGCAGTCCACCAACTTGAGATAAATCAGGATGATGCGAAACATCTGTAACGAAACATCCATATACCGTGAGTCGCATCTTGTCGTGACGGCCGATCCCATCTGAAATCCAGCACTTATTTCTACAATTTACACGTTCCGTGGAAAGCTCAACCTCAGCCGAGTGCCCGGCAGTCTGCCGTGCTAACTCTGCCACAGTCTCTCGTCACGGGACATCACTCAGCACTCTGGTGACATTTTCCGGGCTAACTCGGCGACACGGTGACATTTTGCGGGCTAACTCTCGACCCCGGCTGACTGGTGGGCCATAAAGCACGACAATCAGTGCCTGCTGTCGCGGCAACGAGCCTGTCAGAGCTGCTGGTCCTGATCCAGCGTCTTGTAACGTGATGAGAGGTTGAAAGGTAAATAAGTAGCATCAGTACTGCTTTGAATACATTTCTCACTCGTTGCTTTAGACCCCAGTGCTTGTGTTTTTATTCGACATGTAACCGAATTTGGCCTATAGAAGCATCACTCAACATTTAGGAATAGGTCCAACAAATACACCGGGCATTTCTGGGAATCTCTTATCATTATACTCTATCCATCCATCATTGCCCATACATTCCGGAGAGCCAATCCCAAAAGCATCTACCAAGCGGTGCCAAATCCATCTCGGCTGTGTATGCTCCCAGCGGAGATTACTGCAGACCTCGGCGGCCACTAATGACACCAATCGGTAATTAACTAATTAGCCACTCGACCGGATCTCGTTAGCTGGGTGCACTGCCAGTCGCTCGCCATCAGCACGGCCTGGCCACGGCTGGTGCCGACTGGCCGCAGAGATCCTACTAATGGATTGGTCGCTGTGAGGGAGGAGCGATCCGCGCGGGCAGAGATAGATGGATCGGGGAGGGGGTGCTGGATCGAGTCAGATGCTGGGAGGTCAGGTCAGCGGCTTGGGTCAGGTCAACAGCTGCAGCTGCTGGTCAAGCTCAGTTGGATGATGTCATGTCAGCTGGTAGATAATCTCAACTGGTGGATTATAACAGCAGTTTGGCCATATTAGAGGTCGGAGTTCATTTCAGCTGCTGAGTGATGTCAGCTAATGCACCAATGTCTCGTCAGCTGTTGCGTTATGTCAGCTGACTAGTCATATCAGCTCAATAAAACAGCTGTTGAGCCATGTCAGCTGCTTGGCCACGGCAGCTTTGAAGTTGGCAACTCCTTGCACGCTTCAGGAGCTGCTGTCCTCTGAGCATTATTGCTGCTCTGCTGCCTTTTTCGTACCGGTCTGGTAAGCTCTGAGAGCGGCAGCGGCCGTCCCAAATAGGGGGAACGACAGGTCGCCATTATCGAGCGAGCGGTCAATCTGTCCAATAATGACGTCATATTGCCCTGGGGTTCGCGGTAAATTAGGCTCGGGCGATGTGGCCGTGGGTACGTAATTCCCAGTGCATAGCCAGAGGTTATTGCTGAGCGGGCCATCGGGGTAATCGACGTGATAGGGTCTGGGAAATAGCATCATAATTTCAGCACACCCTCACGCATGTTTCAGTTGTCAGCACAATGATTTCTTGCCCCTTTAGATAACTCTGGAGGCTGGATTTTCGGTAAGTTATAATCGAGCAAACCCTGCAGTGCCATGTAAGACAGGCTGAGTTTGGTGGGCGTCGTTCTTTGTAAGACAAATGTATATTGATAGAGACAAGTAGAAAAACACGGAACAAATAGTACATGGACGCGTTTCGATTATTAAATCTTCATCAGCATGACATAATCACAGAGAAAACAAGATATAGCACACAAACATTCGAGCTCGTCACAGTGCAATCGTCTTGAAAATCAAGACGATTGCATCTTGGAAATCAAGACGATTGCACTGTGACGAGCTCGAATGTTTGTGTGCTATATCTTGTTTTCTCTGTGATTATGTCATGCTTATGAAGATTTAATAATCAAAACGCGTCCATGTACTATTTGTTCCGTGTTCTTTGTAAGGCTGATAAAGGTAAACCAAGAAGCCACAAGTTTCCACTGTTGGCAAGCACATCCCTCCAACATCACCTATAGGTCGCCTTTGCAGAGTCCCCATCACAGGAATGTTCGTAGTTTGAACAAAGGCTTAACAACAGTCCTAAAAGGCCAGCTGTTGAAATCAATACGCTCTATAACATAGGTCTCACTGTTGCACGATAGCACTTTGCTGCATTATTTCAATGTAACTTAACACCTCTCATCCACCTTCTTCCATCCGGGCTTTGCCACTTTTCTGACTAAAATACAAACGGTGCATTGTTTCATTTCATAACTTCATTCTAAATTTAGAACAACACGGAACATTGTGCAGAACCTCTGGATCCAAATATGTCGACTGTAATCCTCCCGACCTCTGCAGAAACATCCAAAGGAGCTGGATCTCACCACGTAAGGCAATAAGGACCATTACCCCGGCGGTAAGATTCACGCCCGGCTTTTACACTGATGACGGCCAAAGGTCAGCTCCGGAAGGGTGAACAGCAAACACCTCTTCGGCTGAGGCCCATATTTGGAGGTCGGCGCGCCCCTGGCTCGATGTTTGTCGCCATAAATGTCACCGGCTTTTGTCGTTGGCCTTTTCGCCGCAGGAGACAGAAGATTAACTGGCATATGGTGGCTGCTCCACTGCGGTGCCTCAATGAAGCAAAATGCGAACTGGTTCTAAAATGAACTGGGAGATTTGCAACGGCAATATACAATACATACATACCTACATGGGTGGGAGAAGATCCAAGGCAGTTTGTAAACTAGAGGAGATTCGAAAAGTGTTCAAATACTTATTCAGGTTAGTTAAAATCCCCTTTAGAAAAGCAAGAGGAGCTATGGTACTTAGTAGAAAGGCGATTGGACTTTTCAGACCTGAGGGGAAAGATCTGAAAAAGAAAAGATACAGAGCTGTATGAAACTGAGAGCAAGAGTGAGGGGGAGAGAGAGAGAGAGAGAGAGAGAGAGAGAGAGAGAGAGAGAGAGAGAGAGAGAGAGAGAGAGAGAGAGAGAGAGAGAGAGAGAGACCTCGCACCTCGCCCCGCGCCGCCCCGAAGAGTGTCGTGAATAGTGTCGTGCGGCACAGCATGTTCCAGGCGTTTTTACTAGCGACATCTATGGGCATTATTGTAACCTTTAGTTCTACTAGCATACTCACTGCAAGGCCATTGAACAATGGACGGCCCTCCAGGTATTTAGTGGTTGGTTGCCAACATCACAATATGCGATCTGCACTGATGAATACGTCTAGTGGCTGTTGAAAACCATTGCCGAAGTGTGTGCACGAACCCTCTTCTCATTTCTATTGAGTCATTTTGCAGGAGTGTCTCTGTCATTCAAAGTTATTACACCAAAGTCCAAAAGCACTTAGGCTAACCAACCACTCTTTTGCTGGAGGGCCGGACATAACCTATCAATGCTCGGTGTTCCTAGTTCTGAGTCCTAACAGTGGGCAAGCAATCGTCTTTTTTGAGCCGCCGAACTTTCTAATAAATCAAAATAACTAGCTCCTGTCACGGTACTTATCCCAGCCTCGTTATCGCAAGGGCTAAACCGCCCGCATCCCGGCTCTTTTTACCTTGTCCGGACTAGCGGTCCCCCCACAGTCAACACAGGCAACCGGTGATAAGGGAAAGTTCTTAATTGGACTAAATCCTCTCGGGGGTTAAAGTTTTGAGTGGCAGGGCAAGATGTCCCATCGGGACGATCTCTGCCACTGCGACACACCGTCGGGGGTCCTGTCAGTAACCACAGAGCCCCTATTCAATGCTCTCGTCCCATAGCATTACTTTGCAAGCAATTTGAATTTTCCAGCCAAACGGAATCCCGGTACGCGAGCTTGGTGAAGGGGTGATGAAGCATATATTCCACTTGAGCCGGTTATTAATGAACAATCACAAGGCATCCATTCATCATAACTAACGATCGGCTTAAGTGGGCTGCGACCGGATTAAATCGGCAAACTGTAGGACGCTGTGTTGTGATGCGGGTCTCTCTCTCTCTCTCTCTCTCTTTCTCTATCTATCCCTCTCTCTCTCTCTCTCTCTCTCTCTCTCGACTCTCTCTCTCTCTCTCTCTCTCTCTCTCTGTCATCCTTCCCTCTCTCTCTCTCTCTCTCTCTCTCTCTCTCTCTCTCTCTCTCTCCCTTTCTCTGTCTTTCTCTCATCTTCCCCCTCCCCCACCTACCGTCCCTCGCCTCTCTCTATCTCTCCCTCTCTGACAAGACACCCCTCTCCCCGTCTTCCGACAGGGCCGGCCGGACAGCAGCCATGCGCGGTGTCCAGGGAGCAGCCCTCCGCCGCCAGCGCAGCCGGGAAGCGGCACAGAGGCGCGGCACCTCTGGATCGCTGGTGGACCCCGGAGAAACCCGTACCATCACTGAGCGCATCACCGCGCCGGGAAGTATTCTATTCGGCATCACCTTGTTCCACATCGGCCTGGTGTTTCTTATCATCGGCTTCCTGATTATCATCACCGCTATGATTCCCGGGAGTTATGTGGAATCCGGAGGATCGTCGGATATGATTGGCACGGGATCGTTTTTCGTCTGTTTCGGTGGCGCGCTGACGCTACTGAATAGAATCCTCACGAAGAGAGAGGAGGATTCTCTCGGGGAGTACGTCAGCTCACGGCTGGCTCGTTCGAAGAGCGGCGGGCGGCTCGTGCGGGACGCCGAGTCCGGTCTGACGCCGCAGATTCCGCGACGCGCCGCCAACGCTGACGGCCGGAAAACGTCGCTGGCAGTGCCTCTGATGGCCAGCCGCCGGAGTTCGCAGCTCACCCCGACTCACAGCTTCCACAGCTCTAACTCCGGCGCCACGCCCAACGATGTGCACGTGGTGGTGAGCGAGGGTGAGAAGACGGCCCGCAATGGCAAGGGCGCGCCGGGCACGGGAAAAATGGGCAACAACGGCAGCACTGTCAGCACCGTGTCAGCGTCTCAAGTATAGGTGGCGCTGCGGTCGGCGGCAGGTGGCGCTGGTGTTTCATGTTAGACTGTTATAGAGGACGCTGGCGACTGCTGCAGCTACCAGCTGAGAGAAACCGAGTTGCTGGGTGTGTAACATTTTGCAATGACTAAGTCACTTGACCATTGCAGTGGAGTAGACTCAAGTTTCTTTACCAGCTTCATCTAGAAGAGAAATAGCTGTTAAGTGTTTAGCATAGCCCAGAGCTTAGCCGCAGATAAGCAAACGAACAATTATGTTATGATTAGATGAAGTGATGTTTCAATGCAGGTATAAATTAGCATTAGTTGCTCTTATTTTGTATACAAAATAAAGCAGGTTTATACATAACGATAGCCTAAGTTCAATATGCCAATTGTCTTTCGTCTGTGCAAATGGAATCCGTCGCATAAAATGATCTCATTTTTTACGCATGGCTATTGGCTACGTTTTCAGCCAGGAGTGTGTATGCCGATTGCTGGATTGCGCAAATTTGACATTCCATCGCTGAGCTTCGAGAAACTCTAGTTTCCAATCTATCTTGTAAGCCACGCCAGCACTCCGTGAAGCAAGGCATCTAGATGTGAAGCACGGGGCGCCATGAGATCGCTGTGTGCCCTTCTATGCCATTTAAACCGTTACAGGTTGAGTTCTACGTGCGCAGTCGGCTGCGTGCCGTCCGCCTTTATCTGATGCACTCTGAGAGTCTCTACACGTTTGCGTGGCAATAGTTTCGGGACGGGTCGTCACCCCGTTACCATAGTGCGCTCAATACGGTGGTGGGACGATGACTTTGTCTACTCTGCACATTCACAGCAATATTCCTACCGAGGGCAAGTGTTGCTGACCTTATTGCTCGTTATTTTACTACGATCTAATTATAAGGCATTCCAGTGTTTGTTTACTATGTATTGCACCGTGTTGGCCACCAGCACGTGTTTCCTGCGCACAACAGGTGACGACTTTCAGTGTTTCGATTTTTGCGACGATTTTTACCGTTTTCGAAGCGTGTTAGCTTGTATCGCTAGACTGATTTTCCAGTTTTTATCTGCTTGCGTCTGTGGCACATGGTTCGACTGTCGCGTGTTCTGTGACAGTGACACCTTTCGCGTTCTTGTTCTTACTGTGGCGTACGAAAAACCGTCGCGCGTTACCCGTGTAAGCTAAGACGTACCACAATGTCGACAGCATTCCACTTTGTACTTTTTCACCGATCTCGCTTTTGCCAGCCTTTCCCAGCCCTTGACAATTCCTGTCGGTTCCTCGAGCAGAAGAGTTTAGTCAGTCCCTGGTCCTACCAGTTTAGGGTTGATGACTGCGATTCTGACAGCTTTAACGTCACAGTTTGAATCGCTAGGTGACCCGCCTCCACCGTTTTTCGCCAATCTGCCTTGTACGATTTCTCCCAGGGCCCCCCGAAATGCCCGTGCCCGGATTTGTACGCTGATCAGGGCCCAACGTCTCGCATCGGCCCCTAATGCTGTGTTGCTCAGTTGCTGGTGCCCACGTGTGTCGCTATACGCCGCTCGGTCTGTCTCAGTTACCCGCATTTGCTACTGATGAGCCCACGCCCATAACGAACCAATACAGAACACGATATGGAAATGTGTGTTTGACCGGGAAAAATATTCAACGAGATATCGACTTATGCCAAGCCTGTGGCCTCTAGTAAGTAGTTGACTAGTTACGCAAACACGCGAGAAGGCAGTTCCTAACTCACTCTCCAAGTGCATCAAACAAATGTATTTAGCTTTCACAAGGCCATATTGTCTTGAAACACATCTCACTCACCTAATTAGAGACCAAATTAAGGCGGCTATGACGCTAACCGCGAGGCTTGAAGCCCAAGGCGTTCTGAAACACGGCCGTCACTCTTACAGGGGGCTTTCAGACTGTCACAGTCGGCAGCGACCGGCACTGTCACGCGGTTACGGGGCCTTCAAACTGTCACTGTCAGCACTGTACCGCAACTGTCACCTTCCGATGGGGCTGACATGGGTACAGACGAGTACAGACTGCCACTGTTATGCGACTGTTACGCCCCGACGCAAACGCAATGTCCTGTGAGGTGTCCGAGCCTTTAGACGGGCATGGGGGAAGAAAAGCAGGCGTGCGTTAGATGCGTGTCGTACTGGACTGACAAAACATACAGCGCAGAGTGCAGACTGGAGCTTGTTTGAGGTTGAGGCTAGGCAGTGGCGGTACGCTTTAAGCCACAGCTATCGGCTGCAAGACATCGGCCGTTGACCTATGCGCTGCAATTCTCCAGGTGCATACGACGCTTCTGCCGCTATCCGCTCGATCCATTACGGCCAATAAGTCACGGTTTAACGCATCACGGCTCGAATTGTTACAGCTAAGCGCATTATGGCTCGACGCCTAAAGGCTAGTCGCATCAGGGTCTGACTCAAGTGAAGGAACAAACAGCGGGCTGCTTTCGATCACTGGTATGATCAGCTGTCCTGATCAGTTCACGATCCGGAGCGCAGTCGAACCAACTGAGTTGTCACAGTGGTTACTGTCCTACACCACCACACGTCACGTCACGGCTGGTAGCTCGCGGCACAGTCCATCACGGCGCGTCACACGGAGTGCCACGTCACATCACGACCCTCTCGGTCAGTCTGGGGCCAGCGCGTGAGCCCCACTGTCCCTCACAACTCTGTCCAACGTCTGCTATCGCCTCAAGCGTTACTGGCACCGTCGGTACAGATAGAGATAGGCGAGCTCGCGCGGTGGTTGCCTACTCTCCGCGACTTTCTCATCGTTGAAGATGCACCACCGTCCGTCCTTAAGCACGTGGCAGACATAATGACCCACCATAGTGCTGGTACCCATGTGGGAAATGAAGGCGACCAGTTGGTACTTACCGGGGCCGTCTCGGTAGCCGTCCGCCGCAGCGGCAGGTGTTGGCTCATCATTCAGCTCGGCAGGGTGACTGAAGATCCAGTCGGCTGCCCGTTCGACGCTGTTGTTGGTCTCCTTCAGCGCGCGTTCCGCCTGAGCCGGGGTGAAGCCCATACTGACGATGAGAGCTACTGAGTCGGGGTCGGCAGTGAAGGTTGAACCCCCCGCAGGGGCCGTGCCGGGGACGGTGAATGGCGCAGCAAAGTCTGCATCAGTCATATGCTCCATGATCCACGCCATGGCCGCCTCGACGCCCGAGTTTTGGGTGGTGTACACGGCACGTTTGCACGCCTCCTCCGGGAATCCCATCTCGGTGAGCTGACTGATCACTGCTGCGTCGAGCTGGGGCGCGGCGGCGGCGGCCGCGCGGTCACCGGCCGGCTCCGGTAGCTCCTGCTCACCCGGCTGGAGACCCGCACCACGCAGTGAGCTGAGATCGAGCTCGTCTGGAACGGGGATAGACACGTCCAGCTTCTTGGGTAGCCAGTCATCCCCGACGGTGAAGCGCTGTAGCTGAACTAGTAGGAACTCGGGGAACGTGCCAAGGCGAGAGGTCTGTAGAGCGACCGTCTTGGCGTCTAGGGCTGTCGAGTAGAACTGCTCGACACGCCGTGGCTCCCTGAAAGCTTCTAGGAGTGCCTCAAACGGTACACGAGCGCGCACCACGGGACCGATGTCGTCGCCGGGCGCGGCAGCTGCCTTTCGAGCCTCATACTCGTGCACTGCTTCCTTGTTTGTTGCTGCCTCCATGGGGATCTGTAGGGACAAAAAGTATTCTGTGCGGTCCGAATACTTGACCTTGTGGGATCCCGTACACTCAATTCGCTCTTCCACTCGGAACTTGAACGCATCTGTGGGATCATCGCGATGCCGACTGCTCCGAGACACCATGTTGATGAGATGGAGAATAAACTCCTGGGCGTCTTGCTGCCGCTTTCCCGAAAACTCCGGATGGCCACGACCGACCACGTTCTTGAAAGTGAACGGCTCGATGCCTGGCTGGCCCTTGGCGGCCTCTGCTGGATCCTCCGGCTGTCGCGAGTACTTTCCCGATAACAAACCCTGTGCCAGTTTACACATCTGCGCGTCGAAATCGTCGGGTACACGCGCCGGCTCGAGTGAGTAAAACGTCGTCTCTGCACCCTGATAGTACCGTTTTACGAAGTCCGGCACGGTAAACATCACTTGCATTGCGCTGTTCAAGTAACAAGAGTTGCCGAGGTTTTTCAGTCCGGTGTAACCTGGCCCAAAGAGCGGTTTGAGGTCCTGACCCTCTTCCTGGATGGTGGCCCATTCTCCTATCTTCTTGTTCATCTCGATCTCCAGTTCGACCATCGATTTGTCAGTCTTCTCCATGGCCTGAATGTTGATGCCAAAGTGGGCCAGATGTTTTCCGAGCAGAGGATCCAGAACCATGTCGTCTTCGTCGTATGAGAACACATCCGCCTTACCATCGGCGCTGATCGTTCCGAGCTTCACCGCCAGTGGGTATCCAGTCAGCTTGTAGTATTCGACAGCGTGGTTGTTGCCGCCGCTACCATCGAAGAACTTTCGCCCGCAGAGGATGGCTCCATCAGTCAGGTTCAGCCACAGGTTGTCCGTTTTATCACACTGCGCGCACTGCCAGCCTCGGGGAGGCACTTTGACGCCGTTATCCAGCTGCTGCAGTGTCTCGGCGTGTTTTGAAACCATACGCACCTCTCCGTCCCATGTACCCGTCGCCTGAGCGAGCTCCTCCCGTCGACCAGCCGAATCAGCCGCTATCACAGCTGCCACGGCATTGCGGGCCTGCGCCGGGAGCTCTTCGCTCGACAGAGGTATCGTCTGCCAACCGGGAAGCACCACCAGTGTGTTATGCTCCTCAAACTCCGCCGGACGCTCCTCGCCGCTGAACCCTCCCTCCACTCCGATCGCGAGGCGGGTGACCTTCTTTTCAGGTTCTTCAGCCGTGGCAGGGTCGACCGACTGTACCTTTCGCTCCCTCCGCATGTGTAGGAACACACGTGATCCGGTCCTCTGGCTGAACTCCTCCACACGTTGGCGACCGACGCCGAGGAACGAGCGCAGGCACACATACAGGCCCTCTGGCGACTCGGGTGTGTCAAACGAGTAGATACACTGGTCCTTGTACACCTTGTCGGTGGCCGTGGGACAGCGGATCTCGCTCAGATGAGGAGTGAGAGCCTCCATCGCTGCAGATGGTCTGGTGGATCCTGGAAATAGAGTGAGATATCACTACTGAATGTGGGATGATACAAAACAATAAATATGTTTTATGAAAAAAAACCTAAGAAGTTAGTGTGCTTAATGGAATATTTTTCTTTGAATTTGGCTTTCTTTTTAAAAGTAATCCAGAAATGGTTCATTAAGGGCAAGGGCAGTTAAATTGTTCCTATCCCTGTCCCTGAGGATGAAAAGCCTGGCCCTGATTGCTAGGTCTCAACCTAGACAGGGATAAGCAGCCTAGACGGTATCGGTAACCCTGGCGTCACCGGTAGCTTTTTCGTTCAAGGCTAAGGTTTCCTGTATCAGACCGCCGTGCCAGGCCGAAGCATGCTGGGACGTCACTGGGTAAGAGAAGATAACGTAAAGAACGACTCAGGCAGACTCAAATCGACTCAGGCAGACTCAAACTGACTCGACCGACTCAAACCCATTCAGATCTACTCAGACTGACTCAAACTAACTAGACCGACTCAACCGACTCAAATCGATCGACTCAAATCGATTCCGATCGACTCAGACAGACTCAGGCAGACTCAGACCGATTCAGATCGACTCAGACCGACTCAGATAGCAGGACGACTCAACCGACTCAAATCGTTCCGATCGACTCAGACAGACTCAGGCAGACTCAAACCGACTCAGGCAGACTCAAACCGACTCAGGCAGACTCAGACCGACTCAGATAGACTCAGAACGACTCAACCTGACCCACTCAACCGACTCAAATCGATTCCGATCGACTCAGACAGACTCAGAACGACTCAGACAGACTCAGGCAGACTGAAACCGGCTCAGGCAGACTCAGACCGATTCAGATCGACTCAGATAGACTCAGAACGACTCAAACTGACTCAGACCGACTCAACCGACTCAAATCGATTCCGATCGACTCAGACAAACTCAGAACGACTCAGATAGCCTCAGACAGACTCAAGCCGACTCAGGCACACTCAAACTGACTCGACCGACTCATTCAGGTCTGATGATTCAGGTCAAACCGATGGGTCTGTCTGAGTCGGTCTAAATCGGTTTGAGTCGGTTGAGTCAGTTTGAGTCTGCCTGAGTCGGTTTGAGTCGTTCTGAGTCTGTCTGAGTCGATCAGAATCAATTTGAGTCGGTCTGAGTCAGTCTGAGTCGTTCTGAGTCTATCTGAGTCGGTCTGTGTCGATCTGAATCGGTTTGAGTCGGTCCAGTCAGTTTGAGTCTGCCTGAGTCTGTCTGAGTCGATCAGAATCAATTTGAGTCGGTTGAGTCGATCCGAGTCAGTCTGAGTCGTTCTGAGTCTACCTGAATCGGTTTGAGTCGGCCAGGTCAGTTTGAGTCTGCCTGAGTCGGTTTGAGTCGTTCTGAGTCAGTCTGAGTCGATCAAAATCAATTTGAGTCGGTTGAGTCGGTCTGAGTTAGTCTGAGTCGATCTGAATCTGTCTGAGTCTGCCTGAGTCGGTTTGAGTCTGCCTGAGTCTCTCTGAGTCGTTCTGAGTCTATCTGAGTCGATCAGAATCGATTTGAGTCGATCAGAATCGATTTGAGTCGGTGTCGGTCTGAGTCGACCTGAATCTGAAAGTGTGGCAAGTTATCTTCCCTTCCTGTGACGTCACAGCATGCTTCTGCCTGGCACGGCGGTCTAATACAGGAAATCCTAACCTTGAACGAAAACATTACCGGTGACGCCAGGGTTACCGATACCGCCTAGACATGGAGATTTACAAAATAACCTGAGTTACCAGGAGTGGAGTAGGCTTTCACTTCAGCTGTAGCGTGGTGAGGGGGATTAGGACCAAGAGGAGCAGGAGTTCACCAATAACTGGGATGGTTAGGGCCTATTGGAGAATGGTCCAAATTCAAATAAATAATTAATACTATTCCCTTATCTCCATAGTCAAAATAAACAGCTCAATAATGTGCAAATAAAACGTCAAAGGAATAGGTAATCATTAATCAAGGAACATATTTCACAAGAATCAAATCATATCACTGCGGAAGTAAGATGCTGACAGCTGCCTAACTGCAGCCAGCTACGGAATCATTCAATCAAGCATATAAAAAACAATAACATTTCATGAAAATAGCGAATCCATGCATTTTTTATCAATATCATGAATGTTTAACTTTTCTAGGGAATTTAATGAGTTCGGTTTCGTTTGGACTTGGAGTGCTCACTGCTCAGGCTGATGACAAATGGCAAGGCCCATTGACATGGTGCTCTCAATTTCACTAACTTTCTATCAGGTTCAACTTTCTGCTTACCCTAGATGTTAAGCACACTTTCCAGAAACTGTTGACCAGGAGGGTATCAAATTCACAAAAATCCGGACGCCGGCTGCGTATCTTCTATTTTGCCTTGTCACCAAAATCAAGCAAATAACAACAGAATTATAAGCATGAAGAAATGTCCCCCACACTTGGCGGTAAAAGTCATGGTATCAAAATAAATGGAAGCACATCTAAGAGCGATGAAATCGGCGCAGCGCTTCCATATCATAATTTCCTTTATCCCTTCAGATTGTAGCACGCTCATGAATGGGGGAGGAATCTTGCACGGGGGAATGGTTTACAGCCAAAAAGCTAGGCATCTCTTCACTCTTGATAAATATATTACATAAACCTGAAAACCAATCTGCATCAGCTGATGTGTTAACATGGTTACTGTCCTTGCACAAGAATACTCCCGATGGCAATGTATTCAGTGCCATTGGCCTGTGGTATACAAAAGGCCAGAACACTGCCAGCACCTATAGCCAACCGCAAATCATTTTCTTCCGGCACTCGACGACATCAATGGGATCCTTGTACCCTGCATCATTTGCAAATAGTGTTCTTCCTGTATTCTGCACTTAAGCCACCCTATTCCGAATCAACCACACCAATTCCCGGCAGTACCAAAACATCAGTCAGTCTGATTTCAAACCTCTAAAGTAGTCAGGCACACCTCACACTCTTTGAACATCGATCAAACCATGGTAGGGGCGACATCCCAATGAGGTCTTGGTTCCGAATAAATATTCTCCTCAGCAGGTACCCTCACAATACTGACATTCACATTCTCAGGCTGTTTGGCAGCCGTCTTTTCGCTCCCTCCTTTGCCCTCCCGTTGTGCACAGCCACAGCGGAGACTGCCGGCACTAAAGCTTCTTCTGACATCCGCTCGGCGGCGCCTCAGTCGCCTCTCGGTACAGCGCCCCCGCGGTGCTGTTATGGCTCCATCCAGCGGCCAGCGCTGTGACCCATTCGGCGGCCACTCGATACCCTCAGAGTCACCTAGCGGCAGAGTCACACACTCGTGGTACGCCATCTGACCACCGCAGCGCTGCTGCTCCGGCGGCGGCGGGGGTTTCTGACGACCAGCAGCCTTCAGCCGGCGCTGCTGTCGGACGTTCAGCAGGCAGACAGCGATCAGCAGCAGCAGCAGGCAGCCGGCCAGCGCTGCGACCAGCGAGGCCAGCAGCGCGGCCGGACAGCCGCCGGGTCGGGCGGCGACGGGGACCGGGGGCTCGGCGGTCGGCAGTGTCCGCTGAGACAGAACTGAAACAGGGCAGGAGCAGCGTCAGAGCGAGCTAATAGCATCCCGGTCCTTGCCTTTCTCAGGACCAATCCATCTGTATCCTCCCCCAAATTACCTCTACTGGGCTGACGAGTGACGATCATCCCAAGTCCCAACAAGCCTGGTGATGTCAGCGTTATCTGAGGTACTGCCACGGGTGACCGTTTGAGCTGCAGGGCGGACTGTCCTACCGGGACGGTCTCTGTCGCTGCGGTGCACCGTCGGTGGTCCGCACAGTCCCATGGCTCCGTCAAGAAGGTATCCTTATATCGCAAGGTCCTGCAATGGCCTTTCCAGGCCGAAAGATCGCTCGCTCGCTCCCAATAAAATAGAACGAACAAAAATTATCTAATTGGCATATAGACTAATGGCATTGACGCATTGGCAACTTTATGCTGCACTTGCCTCATGTCCACGCACCCGGCTGGTTCATGACCGAATTGCTTGAATTTCAAAGCACCGATAAATCAATTACGATCGGTATAGTCAATGTGTTGCGTGCACTTTCAATGGCATTCTTTTCGTTTTCCTTCTCTTCTTATCTCGCCTTATCATCATCCATATCCGTATAAGCACCGTATCTTTCTGACCCTTCCTCATCTTCCCGTTTTCCTTTCTATTCCTCCTCACCGTGAGTATCCGGTATGACCACGCTGAAGGCCAGATTTTGGCGCCAGTCGGTGGTGTTGGCGCCATTCAGACGGGTGTCACGCCTTCTCCTCCGGCCATAACCCTGACCTCCGTCCGAGCACACCGCCTGGGGGCACGGTTAGGGCATTGAATATCAGGGTCGTGAGGGGTCACGTCAGGTGACGCTGGGTTGTCTCACCAAACTGCATGAATCACCTTATCATGGCGTGGGTAAGTTGAGCTAGCAGCTGGTGATATATCGGGACTAAGCACGAGTATGAATTGCCAGACGTTATAACTGGGCAGCTACGTATCAACTCAAGCTACAAAGGAGTCGTGTTTCACCCTCTCATGGTCTTAGTTTAGGATAAATCTCGTCAGGCTGGGATAAGCCCGTCTACAAATACATTTTACGCAGAGCGCTGCTGCTACCATCGGTCAGTACATGCCACCGTCTTAGTGAGTCACACTCGCCTGTCACCAAGTGACTGAGTGTCACGTGTAATCGTGTGTCAATGTGACATTGTCACTAAATGCCATTATGTCACTATGTGTCATAACGTCACTACAGTCACCGTTTGTCATTGTTCGTCACTCTATGTCATTGTGTCACCCACCGGCGCGCAGTCGGCGGCCTCGACACATCCTGTGACTCTGGCTGACACCTGCAGTCGATCCCCCGACTCCATGCCCTGGAAGGTGAACACGCGGAAGGCGAAGTTGCTGATCAGCTGGTTGGTCTGGTGGCGAGCCGGGTGATCCGGAGCGATCAGCTGAAAAGAGAGGGAAAGGGGGAGGTCAGATGATGGCTTGGTGAAGTCATAGTGGGGTGTGGGCCGTGTGAAATGAACGGTCGTGTGAGAGATAGCGACGGAGCTCGTGATCTGACTGCTAGGTCATCTCACTTATTAACCTAGTCAACGAATACTGAAACCGAATCATATGTCCGTCCACGTTGGACTGCAAGTGGTTATCGAGCTATTTCAAGTATTTATCGTACTTATGTGTTTGAGTGAGATATATAAAAAGTGGCCAAATGTAAGCAGAGCAATACAGGCGACAGTCCACGCTCGCAATAAATATAAAACAACCGAGCGAACTAAAACACAAAAGCCATACATAGACGCATATGTTTCATGTTGCCGAAAGCTGAGCGACATTACCCCACTCCCCCTCTACTATGCCCATTTATGAGAGCACACGCTCCCCGACGTACGGTGAGGTCCTGGTTCCGACATCCATCGCTGAACACCAGCGGGGCGCTGTCTGACGGGAGACCCCCGCCGTCCGCCGCCACGCGCTCCACGAGGACGTCCGTGAGCTTACTAAACTGCCAGCCTGCCGGATCAGAGACAGTCACAATAATCAACAACGCGGTTATTGAATTTCCGTACTGACGGTAAACGTTACGTGTGGACAAGGTAAGCGAAAGGAGTGAAGATTTTAATTAGGCAATGAAGATCAGGTTGGAGATGTGTTTGGCATAATGGCTGAAGTCGGGTTCAATGATGTCGGAATGTGTGGTCAGGTCATTAAAGGTCAGGTCAGTTTTGGCTGTAACTTTATTTGGGTTAGGGTTATCCCAGGCCATTTTGAATCCCACTTCCTGACGCTGAGAAGGGCTAAAAAATGTAAATAAAAGCAAAAAGTACGAATCACCAACCGTCTCCGGCGCGTATGATGCTGCGCAGGTGGAGCTCCTCGCCCAGTGTGATGGTATCTCCGGCTCCGACCACGGTGGAGAACATCTCCGAGCCCGGGGTCCGACGGAACAGCGCCACCTCGCACTCAAACTCCTGCCGACCGCCGCTGAACTCGACCGGCGACAGACTCTCGAAACTGGCGACAGACGGCGTGAAGGTCGGTCAGATAAATGATAGTTTGTCAGGGGGAGGAGTGAAATGCTTAGAGGTTTGGCAGGTGGCAGCTTATGTACAGATGAAAATGAGACAGAGCGTAAATGATCGGGCTACGGAGCGTCCAAACGTACGTGAAACGATGAAATATGGCATAATTTCACTGATAGATTACGTTTAACTGTTAGGACTTCGAAGAGGGACACACATTTAGCTACATATGCACTACTAGTACACTTTCTGACCTGGCTCTGGGTCAGGTCCCGGCACCACTTACCCGACCAGCTGAGGTACGTCCCAGGTACGACCGGAGGCATCCGGTGAACTCCTACGCCAGGGAGGCCCCCACCCGTGATAAGGTTAGTTCTCGATAGCCAAAGGACCCAAGTGTTAGGGTTTGTCCTTATGCCTATCACATAAATATTAGGGTGGTTTGTTCATGTTGTATAGGTTCAACAATGCTGTTTGCCATAATTATTCCGAAATGTCTTCTTTATAGCTTGATCAACAAGACCGTTTTATGGAAAAGGTAAACCACCGCCACCACCTTGCCATCAGATGTCGTAACTCCGACGGGTGTTTTGAGCTATACTGGCGTCATGATGGTGTCATATGCACTCACCCGGTGGCCTGCACGATCAGCTGTTTGCCGGCCGTCTGGCTGGGATCCTGCGGCCGACACTGGATCTGAATGACGTCATCCTCTGGCAGGTGAATCCCGGCAATCAGCGGGAACCGAATGGTCAGACACAGCCAGCGCTGAAACCACATAGCGGTGGGACTGTGAGGGGGAGTGTCGGGGCATAGAGAGGCGCCATAATGGTTTGGCAGTCGCTCGCTGGGTCACTGATTTCAGTAAGTTAGCCTGCGTGGCCCGTGGGATGTCAAATTTGTCCAACATGACAGCAATAAAGCGTTATTACTACTCCAAAATCCGTCAAACATTTATTTGTAGCATAAAACCTGGGTAGCGCGTATCGAGAACGGAATAAAACGGTCAAACGCGGACCCTTGCGCGGACCCTAATAGCGGCATCAAGCCTTCCGGCACAGCATAACTGCAGGCGTTCGACGCTAGCGCCATCTACGTGTATTTATCTTTGAAGAAGCTATAGTGCGCAATGTGAATGCTTTCCTAGGAACAAACATAAATGACGGCGAATAAAAGAAAACTCATCCATTTTATAAACATTGCATTGCCTGTAGCAGCTAGACTGCTAGACTATGGTCGAGCTATGGGTAGTATCGAGCTTCGCAAGGTTCCACTAAATGTGCAGTATGCACTGCTCTCTGGTGAGTAGTCAGTAGATGTCGCCCTGGTCAAGGCGCTGTTTTTAACATTCACATCGGGCTCAAAGGTCTTGTTTCATTCCCCTTTTCTATAACTAATAGTTTCAGGCTAGCTGGGAAATAAAATCAAGTACAATAGCCTGTTTCGTCTAAGGATATATAGCCGGTGTAACGACCAATGCCACCGACAAAAGGGTCCCTGACCGATCACGATCTCTACCTCAGCCTAACAAACCACAGGCAAACCCAACTCACCTCGCCGCTCGGCTGCACACAGCTCTCCACACCACACGCTTCCAAATTCGTCACAGCCAGCTCCAGGCGGCGGCCATCTTGTGACGACGTCATAGCGCAGACAGCTGAGCTGAACGGGTTGACGGCGGGTCGGAGGGTGAGCACAGGTGGCGCCACCAGCGGCCGGGACGAGAGGACCGTAGCCGTCAGGTGTTCTCGAGATGAGCTCTGCAGACAGCGGATATCTGGACAGGGGAGAGAAACAGAGGTCAAACTTTGGGTGGGATGGTCCGTTCTTACGGCCTTTGAAATCTCCAAAATATTGATAACTATTGCCAATGTACGATAGAGACACGGTACGGTATGGTAGCCAATGAAGCTTTGTCTACGCATTTCATCCATATTTCAAGGTAGACAGTCGTTTTAACAGCTGTCTTCTAATGAACACAAAAGCACAGACACCTACGCCTGGCGTTGAGACATTGCACGGGCACATACCCCAAAAAAGGGCACGTCAGTCCGAAGCGTTTAGGTAGCCGTTTTAGCGGTATGCACATTGTAAAATGCCTACACATTCACTCACCGGTGGCCTGAACGGCTCCGTCGCCCAGTGTGGGCCCCACCGTGGGCGCTGGCGGCGGCGGTGACGGCGGGGGCGGGGGAGACGGGGCGCCGCCCTGGGTGGCGAAAATCACCTGAGAGTTGACGGCTGGAACGGGGCGAAGCGGAGTGCATGCGTAAGTTAATTAATTCCACGTAAAAAGACGGAACATCGTGAATTGGAGACCAGGTGACGGATGTTTGCACATGAGTAAGGCTTTTGACTTTGATTTACCGCGTTCTCTGGTTTGTATCGTTATATATATTCTTTAATTAATTGAACTCAAGACAATAAAACATCCATACCCAAGATCAAATATTCCGAATGCTACTGCAAGTTTTCCAAACGAGCAGCCCCCCATTACTACTAACATATTGATTGCCTCAAGAGTACCATAACGATTTTCCATCATTAGGTTTTTCACCGGTTCCGCCCGAACTCACCTCCGGGCGGGCCGACCGGCGGTGACACCGGCACGGGGAGGTTGACCGCCGCCGGTGCTGCGGCGCTGTACCCCGGGGTAGACGGTGGGGGTACCGGAGCCGGTGGGGCCGGGGCGGGCGCCAGGGCCGGCGGCCGGACCAGCCCCGGCGGCCGGGCCGGCGCCGCCGGGGTCGGCGCGCTCACTGCTACCACTGACGGACTGCGACTGAACACTGGTCCGGCCGGGGGGCCGCGCGCTCCCAGCTGCCTCTGCAGCTGAGAGCTCAGCCGACGTCCGAACTGGCGGCCCTGGCGGCGGACCGACGTAGATGGCGCTGACATCTGGGTCGATGGTGGTGCCATCTGTCAAATAAAGTAAGCCGCGTCAGTTGGAAACGAATCGATCATACCTGACACCAGGTCTAAGGCGGGGTCAAATGAAGTGTGGATTATTGAAGGTCGTGTCAGGGTCAGTTAAGACCAGGTCAGGTCAGGATCAGGCCAGGGTTAGGTCACGGTCAGTTCAGGACAAGGCCAGGGTCAGGTCAGGGTCAGATCAGGGTCAGGCCAGGGTCAGGTCAGGGTCAGGTCAGGGTCAGGTCAGCGCTATGCTAGCCCGCGCCCCACTGGGGGGGGGGCTATTTATAGCCCCCCCTCCCGTTTTTCTGCAATAACTTCCAAACCGCTTGACGAATCGACGCCAAACTTTCAGTACCTTCGGCTGCATCAATTTGACACCTTGTGTCAAAATTTGAACTTCGTAGCTACCATAGGTCGGCCGGAAATGACGTCAGAGTGACGTCATGTTCGTCCGATTTCGACGCAAAACATTGAACCACGGCAATCGCTCCCAAGAGCTCAGTTTTTAAGCTAGATCCAATTTCTTTGCATGAAAGGACTCAGAATTGACCGCGCTATCGAACTGCTATCTCGGATTTTCAAAATTTTGAAAATTTTGAAAATTTTATATAATAATATTCAAAATTTATATTTTTATATTTTTTTCAAAAAGTTTTTGACTTTTCGAAAAAACCGGAATATATGTGACAGAACGCATGATTATGACTAACTCTAGCAAGTTTTAGCTAAATATCTTCAAAAATGGTCAAGTTATACGCATTATTGCAAAAAATTCACAATTATTAATTTTTCAAATCAATTTTTCAGTACGTATTTGGCATCGTACACCAATATAAATGGCACCATCGTGTTCCTGAGCTCAAACTGCATCCAATAGACACCTTTTTTGTTGAAAAATTTCAACTTCAAAATTTGACCTTTTTTGACCTGAAAGTGACCTGACCTAAGCTAATTTCGACTCAAAATGACCTTGAATGGCACAGACGACATCAAATTCGAAATCTATGGCCTAAATGGACCATAAAACATGTGTCACGTGACCGACGCATGATATAATATTTTCGTGACCTGTGATGACCTGACCCTGACCTGAAAATCAAAGTACAAGTTTGGTACCCTCAAGGTATCTAGAGCATCTGTTCACGAGTGTGGAAACCAAAAATGAGCCTGATCTGACTTGTAAGACGGCGGCCAGAGCCCAAAATGTGAACAAGCCAAAGTGCTAATAATTTTTACTTTGACCTGACCTGTGACGTCATCGGTGACCTCGAGGTCAATGAAATTAGGTTTCGCTCGACAGTTTTTCCGGGGCTATCAGACGCCGTTTGAATTTTGACGATCGGCCCAGTAGTTTCGGAGTTAGGAGGGGGGGCTATGAATAGCCCCCCCCAGTAGGGCGTGTTATACACAGACCCCAGTGGGGCGCGGGCTAGGTCAGGGCTATGCCAGGTCAGAGTCAGTCAAAGTCAGGCCAGGGTCAGGTAAAGTTCAGGGTCACTTACGTTGGCGGAAAAATAAACCTACACTTTGGTCATGCGAGGCTATACCATGTATGTACAGCTTTAGTAGGTCAGAATCAGGCCAGGTGGGTTTAGCAGTGATATTTAACAATAACCAGTATGCAAAATTGACAAAAATAACGCCGTAATGCCAGGGACGGATGCTCACTTCCATGCATCCGTGCCACCCCAATTACCAATGCTACACCCTATAACCCGACCATGGATGAAGGAGAACGGATGAGGTTCTTTCATCCATGACCCGACTACACCCACCGGTCCCATCGCCGCTATCAGCTGAGCAGACGTTTCCTCGGCCTTAGCCTCAGTTCCTCCATCAGCGGTATCCTCTCCGGAGGAAATGCTGAACGAACGGACACCCAGCAGCTGAGGGAAACAAAAATACGGACTTGTCAGGGGAATAACGCGCAGCGCAGATAATTCATTTATTGACAATAAACGGACACCGAGCCAACATAACATAAAAATACGACGATGGGAGGGGGAAGAACGCGTCAGGTGTACCTAGTTGATTAATTCTATGGAAAAGAATAAATACTGGGCAAATATAACAGACAAATACGACGACGGAAGCGGAAATAATACGTCAGGCGTAGTTTATTAATTCTATGGTAAAGAACGGACACTGAGCACTGAGCAGCTATGAAAGACAAAGACACGACGGTTTCAGAGTTAGAGGTCATAAAGTTAGGTACCTACATATACCTACTAAGGTTATGCATATGTAGTACCAGTAAGACGTCTTTTGGGGCGACAAACAAGCGAGCCAGAGTGAACCCTGCATTTGCGCTGATCGAGGGGGCACTTCCAACTATAGTGTACGGCACCCTACCAACCAGTCTATAGCAGCGTGCCAAATTTGAGCGCAATCGGCCCAGCCGTTCTTGGGATCTGAAAGCGTCATCCTGCACGTGCACACGTGCAGCAGCACCCCAGGTCCTGAACCGTGACATATGCAATATGCATATGCATTATGCATTGCCTGTTGGGTGCCTACCCACACGCCAAGTTTCAGCAAAATCGCCGTTGTGATTGCTGAGTTATTGTAACGCGAATAAAGATGACACCTCTTCATTTTGCATTTCGTACGTGCAGTAGAGGTCACCTAGTCCACATGCATCGAGAGTAGTCCGATGTTTGGTAGAGGTCAGAAGGGACGCAACTACCCTACAAAAATTATCGCAAGTCAGTCAGTCCAGCCGTTGCTGAGTTAGAGTCTGTGAGCTGCTGAGTTGTAGAGTCTCTGAAAAACGTTACAGGCTGACCGCGACGGGTCGGACCGCTCATAATATGTGTTCACTAAAAATTGAGACGAAGTTTAGCAGACTGTATCTTCGGTAAAAATGTACCAATTTAAACAAACGAGGCATTATTGTAAAGCGCATTGCACCTGCTGCAAGCTGTAGAGCGTCAACAGATTTGCCTGATCCCCATAGGTCTCTTTTGGGACAATTGCTAGGAAGTGTTTTCACATGCTCTGGCACCAGTGGACCGTGAATTTGGCCAATTCATGGCGGTAACGAGCTACCAGTTGATATTTTCTATGAAATCTAAAGACACCAACATACGTTATAGCCTTCGGCAAAACACATTTAATACTCATTTCTTAAATTTCAGGCGTGGCAAACAGCTTATTCGGCCTCGTTCCAAGTGTAATTTTTACATCGGCCGGGCTCCTCAAGGCGCCCCTTGGTTAGTGTGCTGGCGCGAGTTCGGACCAGAAGATCACCCTCTGGTTACATATGTTGTTCTGCATGAACCTCTAGAACTAAATGATACATTTGGCTCCGAAAGTATCATACTATATAGGACCAGCTTGCAGGAATGAAGTCGAACTGTTGATATGCTTTGAAATGACACATACACCATAGCATCCAGCGTAAGCTTGCATACTGACACTTAAATGGAAATTAGCTCTTGTTTCATCGATAGCATCACTACAGAACACTCCATTGTGTAGTTAATTGTCGCCCTTTAACTAAAAACATAATTTTTCTTCCTTAAGTTCGACCTTTTTCTGAATTTTTTTACCCTTTCTTGACCATTGCATATTTACGTCTATTGTTTTATGCTGTTCCCGGTCGCTTCGAGAAATCATTTACGCCGTTTGTTTGTTACTCAGCCTAGCCTCAGGTGTGTTATATCCTCTTCGTGTTGGTACAGCTGATACCTTAATGATCAGCAGCATTACGTCGTGAGGTGCCAAAAAGCCCCTTCACGCGCATTTTCGGGGCCCCGACCTTTCCTCAGGTCAACATCTTCACAATGACACCAATTCATCTTTTCGGACTCCCACACCCACATAGAACTTTCTTTCCACCATGCGATAGGTAACTAAGTTCGACATCATAAGTTTTCAGTAGGTATTTGTACGTACAGCCCACCGCTAAAGTAATGTAGGGTTTTACCAATCTCAACGGTTGGCTTTGACTGGCGATTGTTTAATTCCGGCGGAGTGATCGAAAAGAATATGTCAATAGCTAAAGTTGCAGCTGCAAGGGTGACGATACATATAAGCTACATTCAAAGTTTCACTGTAGTCTGGCTAATCGTTCCTAAGCTTCAGAAGCAGAACATACCCATTACTGAAACCCCACATTACTTCTGCTGTGGACTGTACGTGCGAGACTCTCTCATTGACGCACTATTTTGGGAAAGCCTGCCAATGGGCTTTCGGCGGTCTTTATTTAAAGCGACCTCCTACGCGACTGTTTTGATTACATCCGTGAAATGTTATGCTCGATATGATGAGAAATGTTCCTTTTATCTCTATGGTAAGTTGCATCGAAGTAGCTTGCTTCGCTTTTGATGTGCAGTTATTCAAAGTTTGTGTCAATTTTTAGTGAACACCCTATACTGTTACCTATTTTTTCGTTACCTATATTGAAAAGACCGCTTCGCTCGCTGAGCTCGAAAAAAAACTAAAAGAATGGCGATTCAAGTGTAAGGCCACTCTGCTGCCGCCTTAAAGTTCCAAAAGCATCCAACTATGATTGCGTTGTGTATTATTCGACACACAAAACGATCGATGACTCAGATAAAACGATGCATGGGATCCCTTGCTTCTTTGAATTTGAGGTAATTTCAATCAAAGCTGTCCCTAGCATGGCCAGTTGCTGTGGAGAACGGTCATCGGTCTGTGTACATCTCAGTCTGAATCTTTCAGCGTCCTCCGCCTCCGCCTCCGCCTCCGCCGCCGCCACCGCCTCCGCCACCGCCACCGCCTCCGCCGCCTCCAGGCAGCGCTAGAAAAGAGGGAGTCTAGTTGTGATTTTAAATGAAGTTTATCTTTTCACATTGAATACTCTTTTCAGTACGAAATCAGTTGAAAGCTCATGAAAATCATCTATCTCCTGTCAATACAAGTGAAAACAAATCGTGAGAATAGATTTGAAATGAAAAGTGCCTGTCTGACCCACTGAACTCTTACTGACCCCATATCATAACTTCTGACCCTATATCATAACTTACGTGAAGCGGAAGCGGCTGCGAGCAGCCCCAGAACGAGGACAGCCAGGTACTGCGGACTGAACCACTGCATGATGAAGTCTGGGGCATCTATCAACAGCCGACCCTATATACCGCCCGGGTGGATCGAGCCCCCTCTGCTCCCGCAGGTGGGCCTCTCAGTGCCCCAAAGCTCCACCCATTTCAACACGGGGTGGGCCTCACGGCGCCTCCGAAACTCCGCCCCTTCTCGGATTATTCTTGGTTACAAGTAACTGGAAGTAATATGCGGAAAACCGCGTGCTGGTCCTTCCACAGCGTTGCTTCATCCAGGTGCGTCTTCCGACGCTCGGGGGATATCTGGGGCTCCTATATAGGTTCACATGCGCAAAACGTCAACAGCAAGGTACCTAATACCAGCAAAATTTTTGGTACAAATGGGTACCTACTACCAGCGTTACACTGTTTAATAGGATATGTCAATGCACGTAGGTTCCGTGTATTTTAAAGTATCATGTAGGCATTCTAAATTCTTTGTATTAACCCGCGCCCCACTGGGGGGGGGGGGGCTATTTATAGCCCCCCTCCCGTTTTTCTGCAATAACTTCCAAACCGCTTGACGTATCGACGCCAAACTTTCAGTACCTTCGGCTGCATCAATTTGACACCTTGTGTCAAAATTTGAACTTCGTACCTACCATAGGTCGGCCGGAAATGACGTCAGAGTGACGTCATGTTCGGCCGATTTCGACGCAAAACATTGAACCACGGCAATCGCTCCCAAGAGCTCAGTTTTTAAGCTAGATTCAATTTCTTTGCATGAGAGGACTTAGAATAGACTGCGCTATCAAACTGCTATCTCGGTTTTTCGAAATTTTGAAAATTTCGAAAATTTTATATAATAAAATTCAAAATTTATATTTTTACATTTTTTTCAAAAACTTTTTGACTTTTCGAAAAAAACCAGAATATATGTGATAGAACGCATTATAATGACTAACTCTAGCAAGTTTTAGCTAAATATCTTCAAAAATGGCCAAGTTATACGCATTATTGCAAAAAATTAACAATTATTAATTTTTCAAATCATTTTTTTCAGCACGAATTTGATATCGTACGCCAATATAAATAGCACCATCGCGTTCCTGAGCTCAAACTGCATCCAATAGACACCTTTTTTGTTGAAAAATTTTAACTTCAAAATTTGACCTTTTTTGACCTGAAAGTGACCTGACCTAAGCTAAATTTGACTCAAAATGACCTCGAATGACACAGACGACATCAAATTCGAAATTTTTGGCCTAAATGGACCATAAAACATGTGTCACGTGACCGACGGATGATATGTTATTTTCGTGACCTGTGATGACCTGACCTTGACCTGAAAATCAAAGTACAAGTTTGGTACCCTCAGAGTATCTAGAGCATCTGTTCACGAGTGTGTGAACCAAAAATGAGCCTGATCTGACTTGTAAGACGGCGGCCAGAGCCCAAAACGTAAAGAAGCCAAAATGCTAATAGTTTTTACTTTGACCTGACCTGTGACGTCATCGGTGACCTCGAGGTCAATGAAATTAGGTTTTGCTCGACAGTTTTTCCGGGGCTATCAGACGCCGTTTGAATTTTGACGATCGGCCCAGTAGTTTCGGAGTTAGGAGGGGGGGCTATGAATAGCCCCCCCCCCCCCCCAGTAGGGCGTGTTATACGCAGACCCCAGTGGGGCGCGGGTTAACCCTCTACGGACCTATTGGTTTTCTAGGGGCGTTAAACGCCCCCATTTTATCACCGCGCTTGTAGCTTAAACCAAATTGTAAGTACATGTAGGGAATTGATTGAAGTTTATTGTAACAAAATTCGAAAAAAATAAGCCGGATTTTTTTAGATATCAAAGTTTTAGTGACATCGTGATGTCTCAGTTTTCGACCAAAAACGGCATATGTAAAAAACATAAAATCACAGACTAGACGTACATACATATTTCAAGCTTTTACGAATAGACATTGTAATTCGACGTACGTTTTTTCGGCGTTTTCATTTCGAATTTTCGACCTTCGCATCGAGGCCGTCGTCTGTACATCTATTACATCGAATAGACGTACAGACAAGCCGCAAACGTCATTAGACTGGCCACACCATGAAAATCAAAAGGCTATCTTCGATTTTTTGTTATTCTACATTTTCCAAAATTTTGAATTGAATCTTGGCAATTTCTCGTGACCACTTCACGACCAAAATGCATGTATTTCTTAAATTGACATTTTTAGACCAAGCAAGTATTCGCATGACGACATGAATTATGGTGCGTGTGGCATCCACCGGCGAGGGTTTAAAATACCATTAAACTTCAATTAATTAAGCTTAAGGTAGTATTAAACCATTCCCGGCGCCAAATAGCAGTTTCCATATTTTCCCGCATTGCCTTAGGTACAATGGTGAGGTAAAAACCGTCATTTTGTAGAATTAAACATTAAATTTTATTTCCAATAAAAGTGGATGAAAATCAAGTTTATTTTACTTTATTAAAAATGAATCTGATTAGTGTCAGTGACCTTAGCTCACACTTTCACTGTTCTTTGTGCTAAACACCCTTGTATTCGCTATATGATATTTCCATTATATCATATAGCACACCATAGCCCGTCTCGCGGTGCAGCGCGGCTTACGACGTTCGGCATTTCCAGCGCGCAGTGGCTGACAACTTTCTCAGAACCCGGTACTCGGCATGGGGCCGCTGGTTGTTTATCGACACCAGCTCACCTTGTCTCGCCTCACCTGACCTCAAATCACCTCACCTTTCTGGAAATTAGTTCCCTGCGCAGAGGGGCCTCTACATCAGCCGATCTGACCTCCATTTACCCTTCAACTTCGCGCCTCTATGCACAGTCGGCCCCCGACTTAATATTGCCAACGGAAAGGTGCCCCTCAGATTTGTGATTTGACTGGCAGCAAGTGGTATGGAACATGGAAGGTAGATCACACCACGGGCAAATAGAGGCGCGGGGCCACGGGTACATAACCGCTGCGCGATTCGGAAGCCTCAGTCGCCAACATGCGAGCCCTTCTGGTGGTAACGGCGCTGGTTGTGGCCGTGTCAGCCCAAGGTAGGCAGCAGAACGGAGAATTCAGTCACTGAGTTGCAGTCGATCTATGTAGAGCTATAATTTAAGTTGGAGAAATGCTACTTGATTGATGCTGGTTCGGGAATATTTTGACGCTAACTAATTTAACGTTTTCAAGCAATTTGAAAGCAAAAGGCGTTTCTGTTTTGGTGAATGTCTTTGTAGGCAGGTATCATCACAAACAAATTATAATGTTTTATGCATGTAACAGTACGATATAATGAACTGAGCACGAATCTACTGTTAGCTCCGGTTGCTTTTCAATAGAAAAACACAATTCTACCGAATATGTTTGTCTATTTCAAACAACCTGCGGTTATACCACATAAAATTGTTCGTCCTTCGGCTGTAATAAAGAAAATAAGTGTCTTGAGTTAGATCCGTGTGTAAAATAATTTAATAGCATAAAAGTCGACCATCTCGATGGGCAACATTCCTGACCGAAAAAAAAAAACGTTCTCTGACAGGTGGTGGTGGCGGGGACGGTTTCGGCGGTGGAGGCGGCGGTGGCGGTGGCGGCTTTGGCGGTTTTGGCGGTTTTGGCGGTTTCGGCGGCGGTGGCGGCAGCTCAGAAGGTCCCGGGTCTTTCGGCGGCTCCGGAGGCGATTCGGGCCGGCCGGGACAGCCGGGAGGAAGTGGAGGTTTTCAGCCCAGTTCAAGACCATCCGGAGAAGATCCCGGGTTCTCTCCGGCTCCGGGAGGATCCGGAAACCCGGGAGCTCCGGCGGGACACCCTGGAAACCCAGGAGCTCCTGGGTTCTGACTTCTGATAGAGGCAGTTTCTGCATTGACGAGCCCCCGTGGCTTCTAAAGCTTTTGAAACAACGAGCAAAGCAGTGTTCAGACGCGTTAATTGAAAAGGCAATACCTATTTCCAGTGTCAGACTGGATACCAACCAGCGCGGAGAGCGGCGATGTCATGTCTATCTGTGAATTAATATAATTGTGAATCTGTCCGTGTCGTTATCGGCAGCATGAATGCTGAATACATTTTTAGAGGTTCAGTTTGGTTTACTGCATTTCCGTTCTCCACGATTTTTTCCGTTCTTCTCTGGAATCATACATGGCCCGACTGAATTCCAGATGACCGTAATACGAATATCAGCGCATGACTGGGGGGGGGACTACAGAGCCCCCCTTCAGGGAGCCCGACATGTCCCTTGCAGGGATTTTGGGGGGTGCAAAAAGATATGTTTCACCCCTATTTTAGATAGGGTGCAGCTGTACCCCTTGCACCCCCTCTTCCGCCGCTTTGATTCGGATCCTTTATTTTGCCTCAAACGCGCCACATTGCAAATATCGGACTTTCCAAATAATTTGCAAATAGTGCGGAGCCATTTAAACAGATAAAAGTGACAATTAAAATACATGTACCTTGAACAATCAAGCACTCATTGAGCGTTTATGTGTGTCATTAGAATCAGCAGCCTAAGCAATCCAGCAATAGCCTAAGCAATCCAGCAATAGCCGAAACAAGCCGATCTCTTCAATTTAAAAAAAAATCAAAACCCTGATAGGACAGTTACATAGGTATTTGTAAGAACATCTTTTCCTGGAGCCCCCTGTGTGCACTGTTGCATATTTCAGTGTCAAATGATGCGCATTTTCTACTCTCCGGGTCATCCTCTGCGGTAATTTTCCAGCGGGAATCTGAGGCGGGCCTCCCGCTTGTAACTATACCGGTATTTCCCGACCTATCTGACCACCATAGGGCTATAAAGCGCTATAAAGCGTGGTCTGGGCGTCAGAGTCGTCACATTCATCATGAAGCTGTTCACGCAGCTGCTTGTGTTGGCAGCAGTCCTGGTGACACTGCTATCCACCGTCTCCGCCGCACGTGAGTGCAGCTCTTCTCAAAACACAAATTGATACAGGTTTATATAGCACATGATCCGGGTGATTTAGGTACCTACTTGTTGGATGGCAGCTTTTCAGATGAATATCTGAAGCATGGCGCCTGCATGTTTTGATCGGGGGAGAGGATACAGGGAATAAACATTTTTTTTACAGAAATGCCTATTTAATTTTCTTTGCTCAGTTTTCAATGCCAGCTTCACTCAGGCAGATCAAATTGGAATCTGACAACCGAGCAAAATACAATAAATTAATGAATGACATCGGCTTACTGTCAAATTTATTTTTACATCACTATTGGTTCACAATCCTTTTAATCGATGTGTAGAAAAAAAAACTAAAACGTGAAGAAACATAATAGAAATATAGGGCATATTTTCAAACATTTTTCTCCATAGCCGGCGGTGGCGGCGGCGGCGGCGGCGGCGGTGGCGGTGGCGGTGGCGGTGGCGGAGGCGGAGGCGGAGGCGGTGGTGGCGGAGGCGGCGGTGGCGGAGGCGGCGGAGGCGGAGGCGGCGGCGGAGGCGGCGGGGGAGGCGGTATCTTTGCCAGATGGCGCCGTCTTCGACTTCGTGGATGATGGTCCAGCAATATATAATACTGAACGAGGCCGGTGTAAATAAATTTTCAAGACCGAGGTCCTTACTGGATTTTTGAACGAGGCCGAAGGCCGAGTTCAAAAATCAGTAAGGACTGAGGTCTTGAAAATTTATCACCGGCCGAGTTTGGTATGTATTTTACTGTATGCCAACGATAAATTTATTTTCTGGACCGAAGCTCTTAGCCGACATAGGAACGAGACCATCCCAAAATGTTGGCTTAAGTGCATTCTGGTAATGCATTTTTGACCGTGGTCAATTTGCTTACACCAGTTATTACCACACCCCTCTGGCTAATGTATTTGAATAGGCCAGGCATACAGTAATAAATGAATCTTCATCGATTCTCCTGTTGCATGATTTGCACAGCGGTGTCTGGTGACTTCAATAAAATGAAAATGTCGCAGATGAAAGATGCCATGGAATGGCCAAATGTTTTTTTATGATTACGTAATTCATACACCTCATTCAATTTATTCTTTTGTCTCAAGCATGATTTGATTATTGATGAATAACGATCCGGCCGCCTTGTTATATATCGACATAATATAACGAAGTCTGCTGAGCCCATATGTGGTCCTTAGCTTCAAGCAAGCATAGATCCCGAAGATAGGAAGACGGTAGCGACAGACAAAGCGACAAAGCGACGAACACCTAGAACACCAGAGCCAATTGCACAAAGTGCCAACACGGCCCGAATGTTGCACAATGCGTCACCCGAGAGTCAAGCAGTGCAGACGATATCGGTCACCGGGCTACGATCTGACCCTGACACATTATGCTGACACCACGCTCGCACAAAGCAGTCGCTTATTCGTAGGAACACCGAGGCAGCAACTCCGTATCCCACAGGTGTGTGAACAGGTAGGACTTGCTTCGGCATTGCACTGTTCTATTCACGCCACATTAGGGCACAATAGGTGTGAATCGATAACAGCCGAGTGGCACTTTTCAAATTGACTTTGATTCTACTGTTTTACAGCAGACGTGCTAATTATTGTCCGTGTCAAAGCTGACTCCAGGTGACCTCGTCACTACACAGGTCTGCAGATAAAGTGCACTGTTTCTGCAAAATGAACATCTCCCATCAGCACCGTTCTGCAGAAACTCTGTCAATGACGCACATCTCGCACACTTGTGACATTGGCGCATCGGTATAAAAGACCGGCCACGCCCGATTTTCCCCAAAGTCGGAAAGACAGAACCAACAGACGCCAACACCGGAAACTGCGTTTCTCAGCGCTTCAAGATGTTCTCGTTGACTGTCGTTTGTCTTCTGGTGGCCGGTGCTTTGGCCGAGCCTGAACCCCGGGTTTCCAGGAGCCGGTCAGCTTTCGAGGAAGTCCTGACATCAATGAGTACTCGCCTCAAGTCCCAGCTCTCCGCCACTGAACTGGAGGACCTGAAGTCGGCCACTCCGTTCACCTGGTCCGCCGGGTCGCACACTCTCAGTCCCGGAGTCTACATCCTAAAATCGCCCAACTTCCCCTTCCTGTATCCCAACAACTATGATCGCACCTGGACGATTGTCGGAGACGAGGGCCAGGACATCCGCATTGACTGCGGCTACAAAATTCAGTACTCGAGCTCCTGCAGTAACGACTACCTCCAAATTAACGGCGCCGTCCGCTGCGGCATCGGGCACTACGGCACCGACAGCGACGAGCTGGAGATCAGGTTCGTCACCAACCGCTTCTTCCGCTCGCTAGGATTCGTCTGCGGCATCGTGGTGCCGCCCGCTGCTACCACTACGGAGGACCCGGCACCGTGAGCTCGGCCCCCGACGAGCGAGGCTGCCGCGAGGCGCTGGGAGAGTGGTAGAGTCTGCACACACCGGAACCTCGGGATATTTCAGCAGGGTGAAGTAAACTATTAGGTGATGGGAAGACCGGAAGATAAATACTACGGGGCGGCGCGTGTGTGTCTCTGATTTCAAGCATGTAATACGATTACCTATATTTAGGGCGCAGACTATTATTCATGCGAGTCTTCAATAAAAGTATGCAGATGGGAAGGTTGTGTTTTTCATGCACCTGAATGTTTTCAAACATTGCGATAAGGTGCCAGGTTTCTCTTGCCTTTCTTGTCAGATTCAAAGGCAAATGCAAAAAAAATTAACCCACGGAAAATCATAAACTTTAACATCAACTTTACTAGAATAAATAAAATGAGTTGGTAAACACACCCTGCAGAGATCAACCAGTATCCCAGATGTTGTCTTTCAAGATACAAAGCATGGTATGGTTACAAGAGCCAGTCACCAACACGTTGCACATGCCCATTAAAATATTTTCCTGCGAAGTGTACCGCAGTGATTAATGTGTACGGTTGGACGGTTCTGATATTGTTGACGAAGATATTTTACAATGCCTATTGCTGCCACACCGATGTTCATATTAAAATATCTTATCATCTAACTTTTAAGAGAAATTGTCTGATGTCAGCTAAAATGGACAGATGTTGTAACAGTAAAAATGCAATCAAATACGTAGGTATCTCACCAATTACGAATGCCGTTTAATTGATTTATCAATAACGGTAAACGTTACGCACGCAATCCCTCACTCATATGTATAATGCCATAAGACGATTGAAGAGGAAATCCTTACGGACAAGGTCAAATTGCATCAGCATGCCATTGTCATCTGTGGTAGTTATCTGTAGCCATTAGTTAGCATCAAGTTAACATAGGTAACCCACTCAACCCAGCACATTGGTGAAAATGTAGCAGGTAAAAAAAAAAATGTTTGACGCATTGAAGTTGCGGAATCGCCACAGCCGGGCCCGAATGAAACAGACTTCTGCTTCAGATGGCGCCTTACACCTACGCCACGTCGACCGTTAACCCATTCTTCAATACAGCAACGAAGCAGCATCAGCAATCCATTTCAGCGGTGTTTAATGCGGCGTGTATTAGTTCAATGTGGCGCACAGCGCGCACATCTGTCCCCAGCGGTGTGCCGGTATAAAGTCTGTCCCCGGCCGCTGTACATCACTTCCCACTGCGATTCTGCAAGCGGTCCAGCATGTTGTTGATATCTGTGGGATGTCTTCTGGTGGCCGGTGCCTTAGCCGGCACGGCGCATCGGGTGGATGACCAGCTAATTGACGTGCAAGACCGCCACCAAGAAGGCGAAAAGCTTCGCCCAGAAGCTCGGAAGCTTCACCAAGCTCAGGAGCTGATCCTGGGAGAAGGGAAGCTAAGTCCAAGGGCTAAAGAGCTGCAACAAGTTCAGGAGCTGCACATGGAAACTTCGATGCAGGAGCCAAGGAACGACACCGGCCCAACCCCACTCCCAGCTCGAGACGAACGGATTTTGTACGTTCTGGCACCAGGTCTGTATTACATCACCTCGCCGCGTTACCCTTACCTGTACCCCAACTTCGTCGACAAACGATGGCATCTCTTCGGAGCTCAAGGCCAGACCATCACCATCGGCTGCAACGACTTTGACGTCGAGTACCACCACTACTGCCGCTACGACTTCCTGCGCATCAACGGGGTGAAGTACTGCGGCAGCGACGTGGTGGAGGATGTCACCAGTCCGGAGCTGAGGATCCGGTTTTCCACCGATTACAGCGTACGTAGGCGAGGGTTCTACTGTCTGATTACCGTGCCGTCAGTCGGTGGGACCACGGGAACCACCGCTGGCACCACTGAAACTACGACTGACACCACTACCGACACCACTACCGACACCACCACAGACACCACCACTGACACCACTACCGACACCACTACCGACACCACCACTGACACCACTGCCAGCACCACAGACTCGCCCGCTGGTGACGAGTGCTGCGGTATAGCCAACAGCAACGGAGTTAGGATCGTAGGGGGCGCAGAAACTGAGGTCAACGAATTTCCCTGGCAGGCGGCGCTGGTGTCCTTCGGCGGAAACATGCCCTTTTGCGGAGGAACCATCATCAATACACAGTGGATTCTCTCCGCGGCTCACTGCACGGCCGGAGAGACCACAGCCTCAATTCAGGTGCTGCTAAGGAAGCATCAAACCAACATCGATGTTGATCAACTCCGCATCAACGTGGTACAGATCATACAACATCCATCCTACGACGCTGCGACGTACAGCTTCGACTTCTCCCTTCTTCGACTCCTCATCCCCCTCGACTTCAGCACGTTGGAGAACAGGGTCGCGCCTGCTTGTCTACCTGCCGGAGGTGACTTCGTAGACGTGTCAGCTTTGACGAGCGGATGGGGAACAACCTCGTCCGGAGGCTCGGAGCCTAACGCTCTTAACGCTGTCACAGTCGATACCATGTCCAACGCTGAATGCACCGCTGATCTGGGAGAAGGTCTGGTGGATGACTCGATGATCTGTGCGGATGTGGATGAGGGTGGTAGGGATGCCTGCCAGGGTGACAGCGGCGGCCCGCTGGTGACCGAGGTGGGTGGGAGATATACGCTGATCGGTGTGGTGTCGTGGGGTTTCGGCTGCGCTGATCAGGGTCAGCCGGGCGTCTACGGACGGGTCGCTGCTGTGTCTGATTGGATATCAGAGAATACGGCTGGAACCAGCCTCTGCTAAGGCATGGACTGCTAGTCCTAACCACAGCGAGCTCATCTCTGCTGAGTCCTGACCAAACCATTAACCAGCTGAGTCCTGACCAAGGCTGATGCTAATGTCTGCTGATAACTGGCAACAGCTATCTGATTTCTGACCCAGACTGAACTTAAGACCTGGAGATACGGAATGCTACCTTGTCGGTGGTGGTGATCCTGCATTTTGACCGCGACCTCCAATGCTCTAAAGGTGGTAGGTATATGCTGTGTTTTCTACACTGTCCGATGAATTCTAATGTAACTTTCTATCGGTGTTTTGACAAGCAACGCCAGTTTTGTTGGTTTAACTTAACCTCTGGTGTCTTATCTATCATGTATCGGCGGTGAAAATAAATGTTATTTCTCTGCTTTGATGTGTCATTGCTTCTGGTAGTTACAAATACGCGAAAGCCGAACAGCGGCATCGTTATTCAATGTAGACTTTAGTAACGGCTTAACACACTCAGGTTATTGATACGATTTAATAAAAAGCAGTGGTGGGCACTTCAATAATTCCCATCGATAACGATTATCGAAGTCTAGTTTATCGTTATTAATTATCGTTATCGAAGTAGCGTTATCGAAGTCCCCGTTTCGGTCAATCGATAACGATAACTTCATCAAATAGACGCGAGCGTATTAAAGGGAATAGTTCACCTTCAACATGAGGTTTTGAACCGAGATAGCAGTTTTGTAGATTGAACACTGAAAAATGCTATTTGGAATGCCTTTCGGTCCAACAAGCTCTGTCGCCAAAGACATTCAAGTTTTTGTTTGCACGTTTGTTTGTTTGTACGAGAAAAAATAACATTTTCACTGTTCTAAGCCCTCCTTTTTGTGTAAGCGGCTGGGTAATAATGGTGTTGTATGAGCGAATTGGTTAAATATTCATTAGAAGCTTATTCCTTTCAAATATTTTATCCTTTAGATTTCTTTCTTTTTGACCGATAACCAAATCGTTATCGAAGTCGCTGACCTCGAAAGAGGTTATCGAATTATCGTTATCGAAGTCCCGGTCAAGTTACCAGTGCCCACCACTGATAAAAAGCGAATCAGTTTAATAATTCCCTCTCACACCTGCCTCCCACCATTCTCCGATGCATCAACACCACACTAACACTGTCCGCACCGCACTTTACTTCTGTTCGCACCGCACTTTACCGGGACGATTCCGCCCCTTATCGGCCTGCCATCTCTCCCCCGTCCGTCTCTGTCATGTTCCCAGGCAGCTGGCCTGACCCGGATGGCCACTACGCAGACAGGTCCGACAGATAATATCCCGATGATAATCTGATCTGTCAGGGGACTCAGAGAACGCCTGCTTTTTAGAAGGAAGGAATATTCGGTGGAGGGACAGATACTGCAAAAACATGCTGACATGCTAATCGTTTTTGGTTGCTAACTGACTATATTAGGGTGGGTATAGGTCACTGATGAGTTCAACTGGTGACGTTTGAATGATTGAAATGTTCTAGGGTATGTGCTGAAGCGCATTGCGTTGAAGTTGTACCGAAACGAGGTTGGAACCGCTTGGCCAGTGACCTTTATATCAGAAATTAGCTCTACTTAAACTTTACATAACATCCTCAGCACCTAAATTTTAATTTAATCGTTTGGTCAAATTTTTTAGCGATACAACAAAGATATTCCGCCTGCTTCCGAACGCGGTCGCGGCTGGTCGCGTGCCGCATTCCCCTCCAGCGCCCAACCTAGATCCCTGCTGACCCAGAGAGGACCACCTCTGCGTGCTACCGATATGAGCTATCCCCGACATCTCACGTCAGCCCCAGGCGGCAGAGGAGTCTGCTCCGATAGTCGATACACGCGCAGGGAGGAGCGTGGGAGCGGTCTGAGACGCTCGGGCAGGTGTGTTAGACAGAGTGAAATGTGAGAAGGGCACCGCCCGACAACCTGGGCGGATCGAGCCGTCATAGCGCACATAGTTGGGTCAGCTGAGGGCTGCTCAGTCAGTCAGTATGTCACCGGGATATGACAGGGCCAGTTCGAGAGTACAGGGAGAGAGAGAGAGAGAGAGAGAGAGAGAGAGAGAGAGAGAGAGAGAGAGAGAGAAAGAGAGAGAGAGAGAGAGAGAGAGAGAGAGAGAGAGAGAGAGAGAGAGAGAGAGAGAGAGAGAGAGAGAGAGAGAGAGAGAGAGAGATGAGAGGATGCTACGGCCGGATGAACCGAAAAGAAGAGGGAACGGAACGAGCGTGGAGGGCGATGAACGTTCCTCACTTCCTACATAATCACAGAGACAAGGCCATTCGAAAAAAAATCAAGATAATTTATGAATACGTTGTGTTTAGTAAAAACCCTTCATTGCAAAACATTCTTAATGTGGAGAAATTGCAACTGCTAGCCGATGCCATTGCCACATGGGCCTGAAAAGGCAGAATATCTAATGTCCAGCGTCTTGCCATGGAGACTGCAACGCAGCACAAGCGACTATCTCGAACTGCTCTCGAGCGCCGATAACGAGGACCGAGTCAGGTAATGTGTGTGGAAGAGCTGAGATATTTGTCACAGAGACTTGCCCATCGTTCATGACCGGAGGTTGCGTGAGCGAAATGGTCACTGTACTCTTGACAATCAGCGGTTATCTGCTGGTGGTTTGTGCTCATCTGTCTTGAAATGAGTTTCGATCTCTGATCTCATATGGGATAGTAGCTGGTCGTGAGGACGACAGAGCTGATTAGTTCGTCTACATAAGACCCTGAAGGAAATGGGCAACATATTGCTGATCATCTTCTGAAATGGTGCTCAGTTAGGACAACATTGGAGACCAATTTGGTGCTTTCTTGAAGCTGAACTAGCACTGTTTTGACACCGATTTGATACTAAGACCTTGCTAACTATTCTGGTACTGATCTGGAGCGGCTATGGGCTAATTTGCCTCTTATAGTCACTCAATGGTCATTTCAGCGATAATCAGTTGGCTGTCACTAATCTGTCCCATGTTTATCTTCCGATTCACTGATAATGAGTGAAGTCATGCTACCGTTGCGTGTCGGAACGTCACAACAATGCCCCGAGTGAGTGTGTCGGATAACCGTCCCACAGTCACATCAGCGACCAGGCTCGAGATACGAGCGGAAGGGAATTGGGGGAGATGACATAACCTCGATCTTTGGGTTATTCGGCGTCTGTTTGGCTCAGAAAGGTCCACATTTGAGCTCCTGTTTCACTATTTACGCGGTGCGGGCTTTGAAGAGGGATGGAGGGACGGAGGGGGGGAGGGTTAAAGGATGTTTGGCTTAGAGTAAGTAGACTCTTATGCTCCGCTTCAGGTAGCCGAGACACTGATTGTATCTATTAGGGAAACAAGGGATTAGGCTCCGTGCTCCAATTCTGAAGAAGATGTCAATCAAGGGGGAGAAGTGCCTCACACATTAGCGACAATTTCGAACCCACAGAACGGGTGGTAAACCTGCAGCTGAGGCTCTCTAGAGCTCCGGAAGGGACTACCGCCTGAAGCTGACGTGAAGCTCCATAGACTCGCACGTTTTTGGCACTTGCCTGGCCATCAAACTCATGAGACGACATATTCATGAAAGCGGCAGTCACAACTTTCAACCATTGCTGTCAATTGTTAACAGATGGGCTGTCGCTACGACGTTTCAGCTGCCAGCTCTCTGAGACACACGAGTGTTGACTGAGCCACTGTCACTTCTTTGCAGGACAGCTGTCGTCGTGCAGTCAATGCCGGTGAGACGCTGACAGCTGTCTGTGTTTATACGGTTAACGTCTGTCCGTCTGTCTATCTGTCTGTGTGTGAGATGGTGGGTGACGGTGACGAGGATATTAAGACGGGATGGCGATAGCAACGGGGATATGACAAGACGGTGACGATGACGGTAACAACAAAGGAAAGGAAGGATAAGATGTGGCCGAAAATAGTCAGGAGGGGAACAGAACGGGAGCGAGATAGTGACGGGACGGGAATGGGATAAGACTGGAACGAAACGATAATTAATTAACCCGCGCCCTGCTGGGGGGGGGGGTGTTTGAACACCCCCCCCCCTTGTGGTTTTTCGCGAATATCTCAAAAACGGCGGCGCGGAGCGCCGCCGTTTTTTGTACACCTTATCATACATCAATTCTACACATGTTGTGAAAATTTCAGACCAAGGTCATTCAAGGTCAGGTCACCAGGTCACTTGAAGTGACCTCACCTCATAAAAAGTTTCAATGTCTGTCATAGCTACACCGAGTGACCGATCGCTTTGAAACTTTCAGTGATTGCTAAGAGCAATAGCATGTACAAAATGTATATCTCAGAATTTTGATATCGATGACCTAAGGTCAGGTCAATTTTGCGACCTCCCCATTATAAGTCAATGGGAGAAAATTGAAATGCGCCTCTTTTGGACGAAAGACATTATAAACACTCCCAAACACTGAATTACAAGTGGTTTAGACACACTGAACATGAAAATGGTGTCCGTGACCTCTGTTTATGCCCTGAGGTCATCTTAGGTCACGAATGGTATCTAACAGTTTTTCGCAAATAACTTTTGATAGAGGCATGCTAGAGCGATGAAAACGCCTTAGATGTGTTCAGCTCGACGATACGGGTCGACTGATATGCCACATGACCCTTTCCGGTCAGGTCATGACCTTGACCTGAGGTCAAATTTTCAAGTTGACCTTTCAAGGTCAAGTTATAGTTCATTCGATGCGTCTTGACGAGAGGAACACGATGCCGGTAAAAGTAAGCTCGTACAAGGCCTGGGTCAAAAGTTATTGCAGAAAAAATGTTTCCGAAAAAATCGGCTATTTTTGCAGTTTTTGCCCCCTGCAGGCAAAACCGTTGACGTTAGGTCAAATCTGAGAAAATTACTCAGAAAGGGCGTTAATAGGGCTATCGAATGCGCTTTTCCGCGGCGCCGTAGCTCTATTGGTTCCCGAGTTATGCGTTGGCTTCTTGGAAATTGTCGACATTCGACCTGGAAATCGGCGAAATTTTGCCTTCAATGACCTCTGGTGACCTGACCTTTGACCTGACCAAAAATTGACCGAAGTGATTTCCTCATTATTTTTGACGCTCTTTCGAACGCCGCCTTCCGCGTATCGCTACGTGGCCCAGGAGCCGAATTAGAAGGGGGGGGGGTGTTCAAACACCCCCCCCCCCCAGCAGGGCGTGGAAATCAAGGACCCCCAGCCGGGCGCGGGTTAAAGGGAAGGGGATGGCAAAATGATGAGAATAGACAGTTGCCGTGTAACAGTTTAACGGTGCAACTTCTGCTATCATTGGAATCACCATGAGTGTAATTTATAAGAATAAACAGGTCAAGTGTGACTCTGAATATCTTTTTTTCAGAAATGATCGCAGCTAAGACCAAATCATGCGAAATCATTAGAGCCCTCGGCTCGAGGCTCTCAGTTGCATAATAAGACACAATCAAAGTGTACGTATAAACGTAGGTATACGTAATAGCACAATCACGAATAAGTCGATCATCGAATGGGCCATACATACCCATCCTGTCCGCTCATCAATCGGACTTCCTTCAACAAACTGGAGACTTTCCAACGAGGCCACCGTCTGCAATCCTGCCCTCATCGCATGCCCACTCTTTTTCCGAGCCGAGATACGCGCTTTTTCACAGCGTTTACGCTCGAGCGGTTCGCACGCGTGACGGCTTAGCCTATGCCAGCACGCGCGCGAGCCACGCGCAGCCGATAGCCTGTACTGATTGTTTTGTGAACGGGGGACGCGTGTGCCACATAACATGACAGTCCATACTTCCATAGACGAGCACCAAAAAGCTCTGACGTTAGAAGGGTCGTAAAAGTTAGAAATAAGGGTAAAAAGACAGCATGACATGGCATCCCCACTCCCCAGGTAGGGGAAGTTGGGGGAACGCCGAATACTTTTTTTCTGACGGCCGTAGCACGCAAGGTAGACAACATAAGCTATTCTTGTTGGCGTCATTCGAGAGGCCAGTCTTTTGCCTTTCAAACATACCAGGCGCATTTGATGAATTCGCATACCGTTAAGCGCACAAACTAAAAATATCAAAGAAGTGACTTTTTCGGCGTTGCCCCGGACTGCGGGGAAAGCCGAAAATGGGAGAAATGATCTACGGGGAATGCCGACATTGATGTTTTGCCACTTTATCTCAAACTTTATCCGGAATTTATCAAAGCTGACACACCTTTTAAGAGCTTGAGGACGCTTGGTGCACACTGGAAATTATAATTGTGTGATATAATAAGAAAATGCCAGGTAAATAATTCCTTATAGGTAACAGGCCGTTGTGTCGGTTGAAAGTGTAATTTGTGTGACTAAAAATTCGCGTTGCTATTCTACAGCAGTTAAGTCCACGTAGCGTGCTTTAACAGGCGTAATTGCACGTTTTCGGCATTACCCCAGCCAGCCATACTTTCATTTGCAGGCCCATAACTTTTCAACGTGCCGTATAAATTTCAAATAGGTAGCACACTTATGCAAAGACATGCTGAAGATTACTTGACTGAATTGGCCAGACAAACGGTAGCATAATGAGTAAGAAATGCAGCTTCAAAGGCGCATGTATGTAGTACAAGGAACGCGTACCTTGAAAACGCTCTTGGCGCTCTCACAGCCGAAGTATTCCGAATGACGACTCGTAACAAACATGCAATAATTGTAGTCACTTAAGCTTCAGAGCATCACTGACAGGTGGCATCCATGTCTTACGGTTTTCGAAATATCTCGAATTTCGGCTTTGCCCCAACTCCGGCATTGCCCCAACTTCCCCTACGTGCCTATAAGTCATCGCCCCTATCGAATTATAAAAAAAGCCCAGCCAGCCCTATGTACTCTTATGTTTGTGTGGATGTCAAAAGGATAACATCCCCAGTAAATGATAACAAACATGAGACGTGCCTAAAGCTGGCTAATATCTTAACTGTAAAAACGACATAAACAGCGTCCAATGGGATTATTTATGCGCTAGGCGCACCTTATATCGAAATAAGCCGACCAATCCATTCGGCCAAGGCGCTGAGCCTCGTCGGTGTTTCGGGATGCTCGGTAAAATGGCTGTTTGCCTTTTCTCATATGCTACGCAGCCCAATTAAAAATACGGATGCGATAATTTCGCTCCTTAGCCAGCTCGAGATCCATTCAAAATTCCAACTGAAATAAACGGCAATAGCCAATACCAAAACAAAAGAAGTAACGTTTAATGGCCGTTCAATGGCCGAACGAATTATTACGATCGGCGATCGCCCTAAGACAACCAAGAAACGCAGATGATTATTGATAAAAATAAATGCCTACGGCCCTACAAAAAGGTAGGGCGCACCACAAACCGTTTCGCTTCCGCTATTTAAATCAATGCGACATCCGTTCGTAAAGCGCGTTTACTGTTGTACTAACCCGAGTTTTTTTTGTTGTACTAACCCTGTTGTTTGTTTTGTTGTACTAACCCTGTTGTACTAACCCGAGTTGTACTAACCCGAGTTACTAACCCGGAGACACACAAGCCGAGTTTTTAGTTCCGTAAAGTGGGGCTATTTGAGACAGTGGGGCTATTTGAGACAGTATTTAAAATCGCTATAAAATGAAGATCGTTTGATTTTTGTGTGATATTTTTGCTCAGGGAGGTGTGGAATCGAGCAGTAAATCGCCTGAGCCAAAAAGTAAGCATTAATTTCAAGTGGTTTTTATGTTATAGCAATTTTAAATACTGTCTCAAATAGCCCCACCTTACGGTTTCTAAAATCATTCATTGAAGCGATTGTCTCTGTCAAAGGGAACATGCATGCCTATTTAAAAAAAAAAATCATTGAATACGGCGACAAAGTTTAAATGGTATGATCATTGAACAGTCACTACTCGTGATCGACCAATTAGAACGGACAAGACGATTCAGGTCATAAACGCCTCGGACAAATACATATTTAGAGCCGATTCTGGCTGAAATGGCTCACACTTCTCTTAGCCGTCAACAGCACCCACTCCCAATTCAATTAGGGCACGCCACTCCCATTGCAAGGCACATGACCTCACCATTTCCTAGGGTTCTACTCACCACTAGAAGCAGAAGAAGCCTCTCTGTTCTCCCCATGACGTCCTTGGCAGCTCCACCCCCGACCGTGCACTGCCGGTTCCCCGTCGCGACACCACTGGCCCGCTGACCCACAAATTCGGCCCATCTCTGCCCCCGGGCTACTGCCACCCCCTACACTACCACCCGGCACACTCAAAGGAACCTACTCCAGGCTGCCTAGTGACGGATCATCTCGCCGCTTCCCGATTGGTCGTCGCTCATGACACTGCGCTGGCTCGACCAATCAGCACGCAGGAAGCGACCGACTCCCCGGCCTCAATTCTCCCGACAAATTCTCCGTCTGAATCTGGTCACCCCGTGTCCCGTGATGAGGAATGATTGACAGGGTGTGATATTGTCAGGAGAGCTACTATCGGAGAGCAATCGCTGCCGTCGGGCCGCGAAGGACCAAAACAGACGGTCCCGGACCGGCCCCCAGACCGCCGACTGGCGCCGGCGGGGCCGCGATGTCGGGATGGGAGATTAGTAATTCGATCCCGGACGGTCACGCACATCCTGGTTGGTGCGGAGCAGAGCAGTGCCGTTGGGTGGATGAACAATCGATAGGCCCGAGGCCGTCAGTTGGAGAAGCTGGTCAGTGGTCATGCAGTGGACGGGAAACTGAAACCGTCTCGTGGATGGATGAATTCGGTTTATGTATTGATATTAGACGAGCATACCGTCTATAATTGTTTTAAAACGATAGGCTTTCGTCCTCTCCTCCGCCCCAACAGCCAAAGCTTGACAGATTGTCAGATCACGGTCATGAGTAAATCGGTCTTATGAAAACTTGATTATGGCCCTTCAACTCCCTTACGGGACCGGGTCGATGAGAGAAGCAGTAGACCATAGGCCAATATAACATCAGTACCTAATCGACGTCTATATCGATTTACTAAAATCATACGCGTCGCTAAAAGTCTCACAAAACGTGTGCCCACTGCCCTGATTGGAAAGTGGACGCGTCCATACCTCTGAATCGCCGACCCAACGGCCGGTATTTCTCAGCGCCCATGAGCCGGTGTCGACCACACATTAGTATTCCACCGGTATGGCACAGAATGAACAGAATGTCCCAGCCACGCACCGACAGGCACGTCCGAAAATAGTCGGAATAATGACCGCGTTCGGTCATCATTACAGCGCAATAAAAAAGGTGAGGTGGTATATGGGAAAGTTCGGTGAAGTGGATGGCTTCATTCTTTCACCACGTACAGTTCGGTTTCAGTTCAGGGTAAAGGAGTTGAGTGTCTCAGTCCAAAAAGATCGATTGCCGAACACTTTCAACTTCGTAAAAGCATATCAAATCAAAAGTCTGGGCAACCGTTGTGTCCCACCTCCCACACCGCACTAAACGGGAAGGGTTTAATTTCGGCACCGAGGCCACAGGCCCAGTGGCCCTCCGGCAGTGCCGCAGAGTGTCATCAATCTTTTGTATTCGGTTGATATGTAGCAAAATTATTGCTTGTACTTATCACATGATTTTTTTTTCAAAGCTTCCGGCAATCGAAGCATAATTCTCCACTGCTGATAATTTAGCGGCTTCACCACATTCTCATATAAATAAATATACCGATTACCGATCGAGAAGAACTCCTATCGCCATCGCCCAGTCTGATACCTATCCGGCAAGGTGAAATTGAGTGAGCTCTGAATTTTATCCGTGGAGTGTGAAGTCGAGCAATTATCGAACGCTTTGTCGGTCCTTTGATATTCCTAGCTGCGACGACTTTTTAAATTCATGGGCGAACCCAGTGATTGATTGGACGAGACGTTAAGTGCCGTCTGTAATCATTCCTCAGTACCATTTCTGAGACCATTTCTCTGCACCCCGTCCCCACAAACAGCGTCATCAAACGTCTGTATCCGCGCCGTGTATTAACTGACTAACTGGCTAACTGTTAAAACGGAGACCGGCCGCCGCACATATTATGCTCTGGGCGGACGCGGCCAAACGCGGCGGCGGCCGGGCAAACGGAAATAGCAACACAGAGCGGGTGACAGCGCCCGCCGCACGCCCACACAAACACAGAGACAAACAGCTGCCGCACAAACACCGGGCCAGCTGCGCACTCAAACACCGATTAAACGCTTCTCTCATCGCCGAGTCCGACCTTCACGCATTCTGTTTTTGCTCTTACATATAAAATACATCGGTCATTTGCTGCTTTTTCTATCATGCCAAAAATTATTTCACTCATCCAGCTGCTGCTCTTACATTAGAGTTCTCTCTCACAACCGCTCACTTCTCAGCTGTCCCTCACTCGCCCCAATCAGCTGCTGTTCTCTCAAAGTCAGACGCTTCCATATGGTCACTTCTTGGCTGCCCTAGTGACGTCACCGCTCAGCTGCTGCTCGAATGACGTCACAAATCCATCATTTATGACGTCATAAACATGAACTCATCAGCTGTACAATCCAATATTCCGTCACACTTTTCAGCTGCTTTGGAGAAGCGTCTCTCACTCACAAATGCATTACCCAAAGCTGCTGTCTGCCGTTTTCGGTCCAGCCGGAGCGATATTTTTCACCGCAAGCCCCGCCCCTCAGCACACACAGCACACACACACACACACACACACACATATCGATGACGTCATCGAATCACTGTACACATCTATGACGTCACAAGCCCGCGTCCGTTTCACACGGCACAAGTTACAGCGAACACAAGCATCGCATCGCGTCCCACGGTGAAACCCAATCAACTCTTCGCCGTCCTTCTGATGACATCACACATCATGACGTCACCGTCCAATGTGTGACGTCACACTGCCTGTCGGCCGGGCGATAGTGGCGCCGCCCTGGTGGTCTACAGGTCAGTTTCTGTTTCCTCGCAGTGCGCCAGAGGGGCCTCGGTGGCTCCGACACTGGCGCCGTCCATACTGTTGTAATCACTCTGCAGGAGAGAGAACGGGGTCAGGTCAGGTCAGTGGGGTCAAAGAGGAAATGACGGGAGGGAGTGTATCCAGATGGCAGTGTGAAGGGGGGACGGGGTCCAATGCGGCAGCGTCACTCGTTGATAAAAATTGGGGTGAAGTTAGTTTATTTATGGGCTTGTTTTGTGGGTTTCTTATATGATACCTCTCGGTCGTATGCAGTCTGTTTCAGCGCGATGCCACTGCCATGTTAGGCGGGTAAAATAATATAGCGCAGCTCTTCACCAAAGCTTAGCTTGTCAGCTGACTAGCTAAGCGCGCCCTATCATTATCAGAAGCATACCCAGCCTGCCGCTGGTTACAAGCGGGACGCTACAAACCGATGGAACTCGGCCAACTTCTATATGTATCTAGGGTCGCTCTCTATGCTGACATGACGAATGACTATCACAAACCATAGACCAAATGTATATTTAATATCCCTCCCCCATAACAAAACAACGAAAAGAGCCAAGTGGACGGACAGCCAAGAAGTCAGGATCCGGTCAGGTAAAGAGACGGTGTCAGACTCCAGACTCCAGACATACCACAGAATCTAGACGATCCCAGACCAAAGCGTAACAACGCCTCCTTGAGCAACAACACCTACCGGAGCTCACCGATACAGGCGGTACACGTACTTTATACTATATCCTGCACCGGCGGACTGAACGAACACACGAATAAGTTCTTAGGAAGAATAAATCGTCGTATTCCTTCATAGCTGGGAATCGCGAGGATGGCGACCTCTTTAAAGAGTAGATGTCAGATTTACCGAGTTATGGATGCGAGCGGTGATGTGACGCCAATTTAGCGATCAGAGAGCACAATATTAGACGTGCCTGTAGTCACAAGGAGGCGGCACCCCGGCGAAACATGCGACATGCAGAGGGTCGTAAGAACTGGTGGGCGAAGAAATTGAAAAAAAAAATGAAGACGGAAGATGAAAAGGGGACACCGGTGAGGGCAGGAGAAAAGGAAAGGAAGGGATGAGAGAACGCTGAAGCAAAATGTGAAGTGCAAATAAAAGGATGGGAAGAGTAACCACGTCCTCCCGATTCGGTCAGTCGTTACTAAAACGGGAACCACCAAAAGCGTATCCCAAATCTCCAATGTTCAATGACGAACTCCCCAAAACGGCACACATTTACTCCAACGCCCCGAAATCGCAACACGCTAACAATACATACACGAGCTCTACATAACTACTTTCCATAATCCATACTCACACTGACTCCATATGATTCTCATTACTCACACTCAAACTCCCCGAAATGTTCCAAAATCAGTCACACGGCCCCTTCACCCCACGCCAACAGAAATAGGATATTTCGCTCTGAGGAGGTTCATCATCACAGCGATTAAGGGTATGGAAGTGTTCTCTGTTAAGGCAAGCTGGGCAGTGGGCACCGTTAGCAATGCCATCCCAGTCCCGCCTCCAGCAGCAAGTCAGTCAGTCCGCCACCTAGAAGCTGTTTCTAAACAGAGTGCTGAGAGCGCGGAGAGAGAAAGAGAGCGCGTCCCTGCACCGGCTGCCTTAGGCGGGGGCGGGCTCGGTGGCGGGGGCGGGGGCGGCTGTACCTCTGAGGGCGCCAGGGTCACGGACGGTCCCGTGGTCAGCGCACGCCGCTTGCCGCCCCCTGTGGACACCAGTCGCGTCAGGGCCGGGCCGGGTAGAGGCCAGATGAGGTCACGGGTCAGGGCCTGGGGTAGAGGTCAGATAGGGTTAGAAGGGATCGGTAAGGGTCTGATAGGCTCACGACTCACGGAGGATAAAGGGACGCTCGGCCGAACAGGGGAGCTCCCTCTCTAGATAACGAATCGGGGGTGTTGGTACTTCAAACAGACAGTCCAAGGAAGGAAGACGACTGTAAAGACGGTGTACGACAGGCATGTGCAGAGCGCACTTGCTTACAGAAGAATAAGGACGTGCACAACGCTATGGCGAAATGTGGTTCATGCATGCATACATTATACGGCATTGACAAGTGTATGACTGACGGGCATATAGTCAGTTCAAGAAACATGCTAAAAAAACTAAGCAAAAGACGTGTTACGGACAAATGCTTTGCACATGTAACAAAAGTTACCAAGTTTCAGCTGACTGATGAGCTATATCATCAGCTATGAACAACAGCAAGGCAAAGAGGGTAAATAATTGTACGCAGTAAGTCTAAAACTATGTAGAAAACCACACTGACAGAACACACAGCCAGTCAAACGAAGCCAGACACGCATAAATGACTGAAAAGACGCCACTATAAGGGATACACACATACTGACACAAAGACAGACAGACATAAGCCTTCTCTCAACAAACCCCTCTCTCACCTCCGTTTCCATTCTGCCTGGTGCCGGCAGTGGTAGCGGCGGCGGCGGCGGCGGTGGTGGCGGGCGGGGTCACCTCTGTCACCTTAGTACCGGCCGTGATGCGCGTGGTACGCACCACCCGTACCTCCTCCTTACTGCGGGTGGTCACAGAGTCCGAGGTCGACTCGGTGGTTGTGAGCACACGCTCCGTCTGAAACGGCAGGGAGGGGAGACATGTTATGAAGCGAGAACAAGCGCAGAAATTAGAGGCAAGACGTCGGAATCAATCCGCTTATCATAAAGTCAGTCAGTTGACATGAAATAAAGAATGGTCAGGAAATATATGCATCGGCTCAAGAGCTAAAACCGATCAGCCAGTTATCAGAATGATACATTCGTGCGCCCATATATCCGTAAGCACCGCTGGCAGCAATCAGCTGTCTAAAAACACTCTTCCGTGGGCAAACTTCGTCATATTTACAATACTAACCGCGTACCCCTCCCCCCCTCTCTCTCTCTCTCTCTCTCTCTCTCTCTCTCTCTCTCTCTCTCTCTCTCTCTCTCTCTCCCTCTCTCTCTCTCTCTCTCTCTCTCTCCCTCCCTCCCTCCCCCTCTCTATCCTCTCCCTCTCTCTCTCTCTCTCTCTCTCTCTCTCTCTCTCTCTCTCTCTCTCTCTCTCACCTCCTCTCGCTGAGCGGTCACATTATTCTGTTCATCCTCCGACGCCGAGATATGCGTCTCCTTCGACTTCTCCAGCGACTTCTTCACCCCATCCTTCTCCTCTTTGTAATTCTCCACGGATCTCTCCTCTCGACCTCCAACGCCGTTCACCAGTCCCCTCATGCCGTTCAGGAGTCGGTCTGCCTCCTCGGTGGAGATTTCCACCACCTCCGGCTCGCTGGGACCGCTGCCGTCGCCGCCGCCCGCAGCGCCCGAGGTGGCGGCCGCCGCCGACTCGACGGGCTTCTCAGACGAGCTGGGAGAACGGACGGGGAGCGGGCGTTAGTGGTTACGTTGAAAAAACTGATTGATTACTTGACTGATTTGAATACTCGTATTGACTAAATAGGCCGAAATACAGCTGAGCAATCAGAATATACTGATGATAACTAGTTAGGGTCCAGGTAAAAAAAAAAAAAAAAAAAAAAAAAATCAGGGTTCCCCAGCGCGCAGTGACTTCACTCCACCTCAGGAAGTCAATATTATGTCCCAGTGTCCCTACCCCACCGGGAAGACGTGTCCTAAGACTCTTCTAGTCCTGATAACCCTCCTTTCGGAAGAACGCTGTTCCCAGGCCGAGATATATTTTTTTTTTGCACACAGCTGAGGAAACTGCAAGTCCCACTGCCCCGCCTTCCTACCTGAGGAAGTCACGGTGCGAGTCCACTGTGGTGTCCGCTCCGGATGAGAAGCTGGCCTCTGCCGCCGGTCGGCTGTCCCCACTCGCCGTCCGCTGTTTGGCCTCGGCAGCCGACTCATCTGACAGACATTAGACAGAGAATTAGATGGTCATGGTCAGACAGTGATGTGGTGTGAGAGCACCGAGCAGTTAGCAGAGCAGCAGGTGTAGCTAAAACAGACAACGGCCGTTCGCTGCTTGGCCTCGGCCGAGTCAACTGGCAGACATCAGACACGGAGAATGGTCAGGTTATAAGAGTCTCAATAATCATACAGAATATGCAGACATGACACACCAACGATTGCCCGAAATACAACAAGAAAGAAAAAGCTCATTACATAGATTTACGGACCAAATACTTATTTTATTGCATCCACCAATTATGAAAAACCGCAGCTGAACACTCCCTTTCCGATTATATTGGCTATCCTCTCACTACACCTTCTCATACTCTTTCAGCACTATCTGTTCCTTTAATTAGCCTCAGCCTTAGTCATTACCAATAACATCTGTTCCCTTTTCCCACCTGTTGCGGGTGCGGAGGCCGCGGCCGGCGCGGCGGCTCCGGCGGCCGGTCGGGCCCCCTCCGGCAGTTTCAGTCTGCACGAGGGGCGGACCGCTACACCAGAGGAGAGGGCAAGCCGCTGGTACAGGGAGCTGCTCGCCAGGTAGAGCGCCTCACCGTGCTCGGTGAATACCAGCGAGGTGATACCGCTGTGGACGAAGGGGGGGGGGGGGGAGTCAGACGGCGAGACATACAATGCGAACATAGCCAAGGATAGGATAGGAATGAAGAGTGCAAGACGGTGAAGAATATTGAACTAGCTGCAGCCGAAACACACACAAAAAGGCAGCGACACACCGAACCCCGAAGTAAGGTCCTTAGGCAGGAATAACTTCCAAAATCTCGGATAACTACGGCATGACTTTCCCAGGGACCATGCATCACAAGCATTACACTGTCAATCCTTTTTAGATTATGGTGAAGTCCCAGAGATCAACACTAACCCTCCCCCGACTCAACTCCGCTTGCAATCCCTCGCACCCGGCCTCTCAACCGACCGTATCAGTGCCAGACTGGCGGTGCCCGGCGGGGGCCTTCCGCGTCCGCTCAGTGAGCGGAACCGGCGGCGGAACCCGGCGGAGGCGGCGCGGAGAGGCAGGGACAGGGACGAGGCGGCACGCAGACCGGCGCGAACAGAGCTGCGGGTAGGGGGTGTGGTCAGGGAGGGAGGCGGGGATGGGATGAGGAAGGGGTAAGATTATGGGCGGGACAGGACGTGGGGTAGAACTAAGAATGTGGCTGCGGGGGAAGCCGGTCGGGCGATCAGCAGGTGGAAGGGCTCGCTACAATAAATCCTGAGATTTGTTGATCAAGGACCAAGGTTGGCAAGGAACACGGAATACCGAACTTAAAATGAAGGTTTGTGACAAAATATCCAGAAACGATAAAACGGTAACATCGTGGATACATCTTACAATCGTAAGAACTTGAGCCTTGGCGGCAAAGAAGGACGAATGAATCAAGGCAGACAGGAAATGGTAACTTTTCTACATTTTCACAAACCTTAACACTCAGTAAACCATCCTCGTTCCCTCCCGTACCCCACGATCTACTCCCCCCCCCCCACACACACACTCACAGAATATCCTCTCTGCGGATGCTCTCCTCGTGCATCTGTCTCCGCAGCTCGGGTAGCGTGAACACGTTGATGTCCCCCTGGTTGGTGACGCACATCAGACACCACTCCGTATAGGCCGAGTCGTCTGTGGGTGAGGCGCAGAACCGGGCGTAGCCGATCCGTCGTACGCGGCTGCCCTCCACGGCCGTCAGCTTGAACTTGCCGTACGGCCGCATGGTTGGCAGGGTGAACACCTGAAATGGAGCGGGGCGGGGTGAATGTCTAGGGTGAATGATACACACACAGGCCTAAAAACACTCGGGGTGGGGTGAATGTCTTGGGTACATGATACACAAACGGGCCTAAAAACACTAAGGACATTTAACGGGAAGGGAGGAGTTAACGCTTGGATTGAACGAGAACGGACCGGCTAATTCAGCAAGAGAAGGGTGTGAACGCCAAGAACGGACGATCACGATCACAGCCTTCAAACATTAGTAACGTAAAACGCCTTTTGGGCGAAGAACGAGCGAGCGAGATAGTGAGCCCTGCGCGTGCGGAAGGGCGAGAGGGTACTTCCAACGGGCTTGCGCAAAGCACCCTTCTAACCGGTCGCTAGCGGTGTGCCAAATTTGAACGCAATCGGCCCAGCCGTTCCTGAGATCTGGAAGCGGCATTCTGCACGTGCGCACGTGCAAACGGGGTCCAAACTGACTTTTGCACGGCACCCTACTAACTGGTCCCCAACCGTGTACCAAATTTGAGCGCAATCGGCCCAGCCGTTCTCGAGATCTGGATGCGCCCCCTGCACGTGCGCACGTGCAGTAGCACCCTAACCGCAACACATGGGAATGCATTGCCTGGTGGGTGCCTACCTGTATGCCAAGTTTCAGCGAAATCGCCCCAGTAATTACCGAGTTATGAAAATGGGAACAAATTTGACACCTCTTATTGTTGTATTTTGCACGTGCACTGGGGGTGACCCACATGCATCGAGAGTATCCTATTTTTGGTAGAAGGGATGCTGCTACCCTACAAAAATTACCGCAAGTCAATCGTCCGGGCGGCTGCTGAGATATGAGCCTCGCAAAATCACTACTTTTGCAAAACAGCTTGAACACCCTTGACTTTTCACGTGGCACGTGCCACGACGGTCACTGAGGTGTATCAGAAGTAGTCAATTACGGGGTAGAAGGGATGGGGCTACCCAGCAAAAAAAAGACCGCAGGCCAATCGGTCCAGCGGTTGCTGAGATATAAGCCTCTCAAAAGCGTTACAGGCCGGGCCGGGCCGGGCCGCTCATACTGAGATTTTTCCGTTATATTGAAAAGGCTTCGCTCGCTGCGCTCGCTCGCTCGTAATTACATTAGGTACATCTGACTTGAAAAAGCCTTAGCACCAGTTTGGTAGTGACACACAGAAAACTAGCTGCTAGCGCTTATCTGCAAAGCACGACGCACACCTAATGCATGTCTCACCCATCTTGAACTGTAACTCTGACGCGATAATCGATCACCTTATGAGGCCCAGTGGCCACCCGGTCTGTCTCTCAACTTCCTCCCTCTTTCTTTCTCTTCCATTCTCACCTTGAACTGCTTCTCTGACGCAATGACCACCCTGTGAGACCCGGTGAGTCTCCTAGCTCCTCCCCTCTCTATTTCCCAGCTCTCCTTTCTCTCACTCTCCCTTCTCCCATCCACCTTGAACTGTTTCTCTGGCGCGATGACCAGTGACCACCATGTGAGACCTGTCTGTCTGTCTGTCTGTCTGTCTGTCTGTCCCTGTCTAATTCTCCAACTCTCACCTTGAATTGCTCCTCTGAGGCGATGACGACCCTGTGTGGCCCAGTGGCGGCCTGGTCGGCCGGAGCCCGACACACGGACCGGCCGCCGGCGTCCACAATACGGATATCAATCACCGGCGCGCCGTGCTTCAGACGGAACTCCTTGCCTGAGAGTGAGGGAAGGTTGGTGTCAATATGGTCTCATGGGGTGTCATAAGGTGGGCGTTGCAGACGGCGTCTTTCAGTTGGGTGAGATGTGTCAATGAATGGAGACATGTAGTAGGTGCAGTGAAGTGTGCCATGGTACGCAATAAACGGTAAGCCATGATGGGAAGTATCAGACTGTGTGAAAGGCGGATCGTGTGGAAAAAAACGCAAGTGCGGGACATATCAATCTGCGGGTCACAAAGCTGACATGGGCGGGTTACTTAGTAATCCATGTGGTGGGACATGTACTACGGCATAGGCGGCGGAACAGGGGGGGGGGGGAGAGAGAGGTACCGCGGCCCCGTGCCCCCTTGATTTTTCCATTTTAACATTAGCCCTATGGACGTTGCATGGAAAGAATGAGACCAAAAGTCGGCAGTGCCCCCCCCCCCCCTAATTGAAGGTATTCCGCCGCTACTGCCATACGGTGTATCAAGTGACAGGACAGATGATACGGTGTCAAGCGGTGGGACAAGTCCGAGTACAGCAAGGCATGTGATTTGTATTATAATAAACCATCTCGCAAAATAACAGAAGAGCTAACTGACCGACAACATCAGGACGCGACCCCCTGATCTGACTCAGCCCCGCCCACCCTTGCCCCCCCCCCCCCCCACCCACCCATTCAATCACCCAACCCTCGCTCACCCAGTGCTGGAAATGAGGCCGCTTTCTGGTCCCGGCGTTTTATTCTCCTCGCGGGTTAATCCCGTCCAGCGTTTAGCCTTTCGGGACCCACTCAGGGTCGCGGTTGTTTTCGCCGCTCGCCCCACTCGAGATGCAAAGTTGATAGTCCCACGAAGCTTATTTAGTGCCAGCCAAAGCCGTCTAGTCTGGAGTTACTGTTAAATGTATGCATATAGATGAAAGAAAAATGTTTTGTAGAATCGATTAATATCGAAGTCGTATATTCAGAGGCCCCAAATAAACTTCGTGCGACTATCAACTTTGCATCTCGAATGGGCCGAGCGGCGAAAACAACCGCGGCTCTGAGAGGGTCCCGAAAGGCTAAGCGTTAGACGGGGCTAACTCACCCGGAGAATAAAACGCCGGGACCAGAAAGCGGCCTCATTTCCAGCACTGCGCTCACCGGGCTGCCAGGTGACAGGTGTGGTGTTGCGCTTCTCTCCGGCGGCGCAGTGGACGGCGTACACGTAGATGGCGCCGCTGTTGGTGCCCGCCCACAGGGTACGCATCGGCGGCTGGCCTGAGGACCGGAGGTGAAAACAGAGGTTAAAGGGACTATCCCACCTTTAACATGGGGTTTGAGTTGAGATAGCCAAGTTTGCGGCGAGGTTCAGAAACCACTATTTATCTAGGTTGCAACCCCCGCGGCCTCTTGGTGTTGAAGAAATTCGTTCCCTTCATTTGAAAATGGGCCTTGTACAAGGCCCTATCTTCAACATGGAGCGACCGTTAGTGTGACGTCACCTCGTTTAGTCATTCTGATTACGAGCGAGCGAGCGCAGCGAGCGAAGTGAGTCTTTTCAATATAACGGAAAAATCTCAGTATGAGCGGCCCGGCCCGGCCCGGCCCGGCCCGGCCCGGCCTGTAACGCTTTTGAGAGGCTTATATCTCAGCAACCGCTGGACCGATTGGCCTGCGGTCTTTTTTGTTGGGTAGCCCCATCCCTTCTACCCCGTAATTGACTACTTTTGATACATCTCAGTGACCGTCGTGGCACGTGCCACGTGAAAAGTCAAGGGTGTTCAAGCTGTTTTGCAAAAGTAGTGATTTTGAGAGGCGCATATCTCAGCAGCCGCTTGGGCGATTGACTTGCGGTAATTTTTATAGGGTAGCAGCATCCCTTCTACCCAAAATAGGATACTCTCGATGCATGTGGGTCACCCCCAGTGCACGTGCAAAATACAACAATAAGAGGTGCCAAATTTGTTCCCATTTCAGTAACTCGGTAATTACTGGGGCGATTTCGCTGAAACTTGGTATACAGGTAGGCACCCACCAGGCAATGCATTCCCATGTGTTGCGGTTAGGGTGCTACTGCACGTGCGCACGTGCAGGGGGCGTTTCCAGATCTCGAGAACGGCTGGGCCGATTGCGCTCAAATTTGGTACACGGTTGGGGACCAGTTAGTAGGGTGCCGTGCAAAAGTCATTTTGGACCCCGTTTGCACGTGCGCACGTGCAGAAAGCCGCTTCCAGATCTCAGGAACGGCTGGGCCGATTGCATTCAAATTTGGCACACCGCTAGCGACCAGTTAGAAGGGTGCTTTCGCAAGCCCGTTGGAAGCACCCTCTCGCCCTTCCGCACGTGCAGGGCTCACTATCTCGCTCGCTCGTTCTTCGCCCAAAAGGCGTTTTACTGTTTTTTTTTTTACTGGGTTTGTTCGTTGAAAAATCGCTTAAAACTTGGTCTGAACTTTGTTGTGGTGCCTACAGAGTAAAAAGAATCAGCTTTATGACAGTAATGTGGCCTGGGGAAGGAGGTAATTTTGGGCTGTGACGTCACATATTTGAAAGTTTGTGTTTGGAATATGGGAAGCCTAAGATGTTTAATGAAAAATAAATGCCAGGAACGTGTTCCTGGTCATCCAATCTATAAAGTCGGGCACAATTTAACTGGTTTTAACAACATTTTAGAAGGTGGGATAGTCCCTTTAAAGGGGAGGTCAGCGTAGAGCTGAACGCAAATGCCAGCATAGAGATTAAGATCGAGCTCAACAACAAAAGTCATCAATATGGGTCATCGCGCAGGTAAACAGATGTCGAAAGAGAGGTCGGCGTTAGCTCGGACGGCGGCTGACGTAAACACACTGCGGCAAGCTACTACGTAAAACATGAACAAGAGTTGATGAATGTCATCCACAGTAATATAATGTTACGCGTCTGTCAGTCGGTTACTCAGCTCCCTCGTTCCTCTCTCGCTATTGAGTAGGTAAAATAGCAGATCCATCCCCGCTTCACCAGACAGGTAGCCGGCGGGGTCCTTGGTAGCCAGACACAGGTAGCGAATCACCCCCTCCTTCCTTATCGGTCAGGTAGCTACCCTTCCCACACACTCTACTAGCCAAATTAGAAGACCCTCCCCTCATACTTACCGCTGCCCAGGTAGCTGGTGGCCAGGTACAGACACCGAATCATCCCTCATTACCCTACTGATCAGGTAGCTTGCCTGGTACCAACCCTCCCCTCTCATACTAGACGAGTAGTGGCGAACCCCCGTTCACAACTTACCGCTGGCCAGATAGCTGGTGGCCAGGTACAGACACCGAATCATGCCGGAGAAGGCGGGATCCTCGCTGCGAGCCTCAACCGACCGCTCCACGGGCCGGACGTCATCATCGGACACCGTCACTGGCGGGGAGAGTCTGCCGGACAGAAAGACAGGGGATACTGATACTACGGGACACTACAGGCCACTATTAACGGGACGGTTCTTACAATATAGCACAAAAGTACACTATACAGCACTATAGGACTATATACACACAGAAGACAACAGACCGTCACTGGTGGCGAGAGTCTGCGAGACAGAGGGGCAGGGGAGACTACCGATCACTACAGGTCACTATACAGCACAATATCACACTGCAGGGCAGTACGTGTATATACCACTAGAAGACACTAAACCAGTAAAACGCCTAATATATAAACAGGGCATTTGTGACTCTATAAGAAAGGGTTGAAATGAAATATGGGTAATAAGCACAGGGGAGCTCAGGGCGTGATCACAAACATAACTAAAACACCAAAGGCTGTAAGGGTGTAAAACAGAAACATCGGAGATTTGAGGCTTGCGAGAAAGGCTGCAAAGGATTATAGCTAGGCTATAAGCAGGACAAGAACGCCAACGGATTTCTCTCCATACCGTGTTCTGCGCCGGGGCTGCGGCGGTCGGCGGCGCGGTGCCGAGCTTGCCTCTCCAGTCGGTACAGCACGCCACAGCAGCACGCCCGCCGCACCCAGCACGTTGAACGTAATGACGTCAGAGGGATGATCGGTGACGTCATGGAATCGCTCTATGACGTCGTTGTGTTGAGTGGCGACGTAAGAAGATCCCTCAGTGAAGTCACAGGGTTTTGTGACTACCAGTGTTGGTAGGTTAACCTCAGTTGACGACTTTGGTGTATCATCTGACCCAAGCGTAGCATCATGCATCGATCTCGCATCAGCATCTATCAACTCAATATCATCATCTCTGATTCTAACCACATCAGCAGTCTTCTGGTCAAGATTCAGCTCGTCTTGAGGTCCAAGTTCCATAATTCTGCAGGAGTTGTCCGCCGACCGGCGAGTAATCACAGGTGTTGACGTAGTACTTGACTCGGAGCCCCAGCGGATCGGTGACGTAATCGGTGACTCGGAGCAGGAGGGAAGCGAGTCAGAGTCGGGAGGAGTGACTCCAGCCAGCAGCTGGCGCCACATATCGGACGGAATGGGAGCTAAAGGCTCGTCCAACGGCGGACATATGACAGAAGCGTGCTGCTGATAGTCATCTTTCAGCTCTGTGGCGTCTTGAGGTGAGTCAAACCCAGACTCATTGACTCCACCGTCGACTGATTCCGACTCACCGATCCCCTCGTCGAGCGACTCCTCATGGCTGACTCGACCGTGACCTGACTCACCCCACCTAGCCTCGAGGTGGTCTTGGGCTGGGATATGGTCCACCGTTCCCTCAGGCGATGGGCTGGGGTCAGCGACAGACTCTTGGAAACGGACACAAACCAATTCGTCCAGGGTTCCATCCTTTTCACCATCAATACAGGCCACCTCTGGAAGCATCCGTTCTGGTGTCCTGTCGCTGTCCGTCCCAAGCTGCTGTTCGAAGGTCGTCTCTAACTGTTTGTTGGTCGTCCCAAGCTGTTTGAAGGCTGTGTCCAGCCGCTTGCACTCATTCGTCCCCAGCCGTTCGGTGGTCGTCCCCAGCAAGTTGTTAGACGATGTAACACATCGCTCGACCGAGACCAGTTCTGTCCCGTCGCTTCCCACCACCCAATGACGAACTGTCCAGTTGAGACCGTCAAGCGAACGGGCTGAATTGGAAGTCACAAGACCAGCTCCTGTGTAGCGTGATTCACTAGGCAGCGCAGGGAGGGACGTTACGGCATTGCCCGGAGATGCTAAGCCAGCTACAGCGCCATCGATGACAGGAGCAGCGACACATTTGTCACTAGATACAGCCATGGCTTCGCATGGAGTTGCTTCACCAAGAGTAGCCACTGTAGTGGCAACAGGATGAGCATTAGTTTCCTGAGAGGGGATCACGGTGTCTAAGCTTCCTTCCGTCTCCTCACTGTCACAGCTGGTAAACAGTGGATGCCCGTCTCCAGCGTTCTCAGCTCTTATCTCATGTGCAGCCGAGAGCGACTTGTCTGCCAGTGCCACAGGTCTTGTCTCACACATGGCAGGAACTGACTCCACGCTTTTCACTGGCTCAAATTTCGTCTGAAAGCCAACGAGGGGATACTTGCTGTCTTCCAGTCCTTCATCTTTCGTCTGAGGAAACACGGAGAAAGCCTTCTCATCCCTCGTTTCCTTAACTCTTTCCTCACGATCTTGGTCTCCTGTCCGCCTCCTTTCTCCAGTTTCTTCACGTCCAAATATCCACTTCCCACCTCCCTCCTCTCCCTCCACTTTCTCCTCCTTTCTCGCCGCTCTCACCGCCGCGCGCACCAGCTCCTGAAACAGCGTCTGCGAGTGTCTTCTCCCATCACCCACCTCCCCTCCACCCTCCGCGGCTGGCCAGCACCGTGGTCTTTGACGAACCGATACAAACGCGGTGCGGATAGGTGGTAGAGGCACCGCAGGCGGCGGCGGAGGGAGTGACAGAGGCGGAGAGGTACCAGACGGTGGCACCAGACCCAGAGGCGACCGGTCGGCAGCGCGGCGACTCTGCTGTCTTAGAAGGGTCCCCAGCGCGTCGCGCCGCCATGCCGCGGCTGCTGCTAGGCTCTCCTGAGGAACAGTCTCTACCATCGGTGGCGGAGGTGGGGGAGGGGGAGGCAGAGAGGCACGGGATGGCGGTCGGAGTGACAGCCGCCTCCACAGTCCATCCATCAAGCTGCCAGTCCGCGGACGGCGTCGGTCATCGGTCGAAGGCGAAGCTGATCCACGATCGGTGACTTCCTCGACAGTCACTAGGTAGAAACCACCAGCGTCAGCTTCATCCGGGGTAAGAGCACAGGTGATTTCCTCACAGGAAGCTGCGGATGATATCCAGTCGGGAGCACGCAGCGATGACGCTTGGAAATCAGGCGCAAGCAACGCACCTACCGAACGACGTACGTCTTCGTCTTCATCTCTGTCTCTTTGTTTGTCTCTAGCTCCGACTCCGTCTCTGCCTTTACCTTCTTTCTTTCTGTCTCTTTCTCTGTCTAGATCCCCGCCTCTGTCTTCATCTCTATCAGAATCAGAGTCAGAGTCGCTATCCTCAGAGCTATCATCCAGAGCCAACAGAGATATCTGCGTCGATCGTCGCCCAGCGCGGGCGGCTCGGGCTCGACGGAGTGCCGACAGTATAGACGGTTCAGTCAGGTCCTCCACTACTAGAAGTTGACCGTCGTCATCTTCGGCGTGATCGTGGGCAGCCGTAGCGACTGCGCCGTCAGCGCTGGTGTAAGCGATGGCGGGCACGGCGGCGATGGCAAGAGTAGAGACAGTAGAATCGATGGTAGAGACGGTCGAGGCGATGGTAGAGACAGTAGAAGCGATGGTAGAAACGGTGATAGCGGTGGTCGTGGCGATGGCAGCTTTCGTAGTGATGATACAAACATCATCCTTGAGGCTCAAGTCACCAGCGACACAAGAAGTAGCAGCAGTTGTAGTAGCAGTAACCTCAGCGGAATCAGCAGTCGACGTAATCTCAGAAGTAGGAGCGGCAGAAACAGCAGCAACATGGCTCGACGAGTCTTCATTCGTCACATCAACCTCAGAAGCAGGCAGCTGGAAGCCCTCAGCTGATGTGACATCATCGGCAGGTCCTGCGATGTCGTCTGCCTTCTCTGTGTCCCGAGTGGGGAGAACGGGCAGAGACTGGGTTCTCTCAGCGGGAGCTATGTCCGCTCGCTCCGTCCCATCGTCTCCCACATAGAAACTCGGAGAAAACTCATCCATCCAAAACAGCGTCTCGCGTGATTCAGTCAGAGGAGCGACTTTGTCTATCCCCTTCATCTTATCCTTCCCACCACGAGTGAATCCATTCTTGTTCTCATCAATCAAAAATAGAGTCTCCTGAGTATCAGTCGGTATAGGTATGAGGACGAGTGGGTTTCCGGCGGGTCGTCTGGCTAAACCCGGCAGCAGCAGTGGTATGTCCGCTGGTAACTGAGGCGAGTCTATGCTGCGATGATGGCTCGATCGGGAAAACCTATCTCGGACGGAACGGGAAGATAGGAAGAGGAAGGGAGAGGAGAGGGGGCACGGACAAGAGGAGGATGCGTCATGCAGCAATTAGAGAATGCAGTGCATGCAGCGAACGACGTTATACAAGAATGATGCAGCTCGCGACAACAGGAAGTGTGATACATGTGCGTTGATTAGACGGATGATACGTATGGTGCAGATATATTGTGATACGCGGGTAAGAAACAACCAAATATAAAACACAGAAGGGAGCGGAAGCGACCGGGCAGAAAGGCAACATGTTAGTAACGTTCACACGCGCACGTTGTTACAGAGGAGGGCAACATCAACCATTCACACACGAGGGAGTGAAGATAAAGCAAGCAGGCAACAAATTGCAAGCAAAATTGCAGCCCAATGCACGAAACTTGTCTTTACAACATAAACTGACGAAGTCCAAGTATGAAACACATAACAATCAGGTATCGATGCTTTCAACGGGAAAGAGTCGGGCACGACAGACCTCAGTTTTGCAAACCATGCAGGAGAAGCAGGCATGTTGCTTTCAAACATGCTAATGTTGAGTGTAATTTGGCTATCAAATACTGCAGCTTCCCCTAGCCATCTCACCTCAGCTGTTTAACAAAGCTATTCTCCGATGGCTCGACCCAACTGACTCAGAAACTAGCAACACTCGGCACCTTATCAACTCTCACTCACCCTCTCCGGGCGTGTTGCGGCGCGGCCGGTGAGTCGGTGGCCGCCGTGGGGGTCTGACCGCCGGCGGGGGACGGTGACGCCCTGCGCGGGCCGGCCGCCCGCTGGCTGCGGCCCTTCCGCAGGCGGCGGAACGACTCGCGCAGAGACTTCTTCAGAGATTTACCGCGGGTCATCGGGGACTCTCCCGAGGCGGCGTAGTCTGAGGGTAGAAGGGGCAGTCAGTGGAGCGGATTCAACGGGCAAAGACAACAGAGAATCCAGGGAAAACAAATAAGACAACAAACTTATAGTTAGCAATCTGGGATTCAGACAGAGGAGCAGACAGGAATCGATACCTCATCTGTGCAATCTCTATACTCAAAACTCAAAACACGCAGACCCGTTAAAAGCTCACTCTATCCACTGTGCTGGTACGTACCATGCGGGTTCAGTGTGCATTTGTGCATGACGGGCTTGTTCTGGATGAAGTCGAACAGCACAAATCCGTGTCCGGTGCCGGCCGCCAACAGACCCCAGGAGTCCTGTAACAGCCGGCGGACAAGAGGTCGGTCGATGAGGATAATCAGTAGATAGCCATCAAAATACTAGTGAGCGGACGCGAGTTGCTTTTCTCTTTTGCCCGTGGTAGACCAGTCAAACTCTGCCAAATAATCAAGACAACTCATTCGGGGTAAGACACTGTACGTAAAGTCAAGATCAGAGATACAATGAAGACCCTGTCGTCCTTCCTCGTATACGAGATGCGGGTCCTCTCGGCGTCTTCTCTCACCTATTCCTCTTGTCCCACCGGCCCTTACCAGCTTACCATCCTCCTAAACCGTTCCTACCTCCATCCTGTCACCCTCTCCAATCCCCCCTCCCCGCTCCGTACCGGGTGCAGCTGGATCACGCTGAGGGTTGGTACCCTACTACACCAGTCTCCCCCACGTATCTGCAGACTGAGCGCGGACAGACTGCTGGTACACTATGTAGTCTCCCCTACCTACCTGGAGACTGAGCGCTGAGACGGCCGCCGGCGGGTGCAGCTGGATCACACTGCTCGGCTGGTACACTACTACACTGGTCTCCCCCACGTACCTGCAGACTGAGCGCGTACAGACTGCTCTGCTGGTACACTGTCTCCCCTACCTACCTGGAGACTGAGCGCTGAGACGGCCGCCGGCGGGTGCAGCTGTATGACGCTGCTGGGCTGGTAGCCCGCCGGCAGGGTGAGGGGCTCCGGCCGCGCCGGCAGGCGGTCATGGCCCTTCCACGCGAAACTGTCCTGCTCGGAGACCAGGTCGACCAGCACCGGCTGCGGGGGGGGGGGGGGGAGAGGGCGCGTCAGCGGGAGGAGAGCAAATGTTATCGGGATAAACAATAATGTGTTGGGACACCAGAAAAAATGACAGAAAACAGCACCGATGACCAGCCGCGGTTTCATAACATAATGAGAACACACAAAACAAAGTCCAAATTGGCTGATAGAGAAGAGAAATAAGGTCTTGACAGTCTACAATCCAAGTAGGTAGCCATTCCAGAAATAGCCATTCCTTTTATTGTCCCTCTAATCCACACAAATATGCGCAACGTTAATACTGAAACAATCCTTCATCACCCAACTCTGCATTTCTCGCTTAACAGTTCACTCCAGCTAGCCTGAACCCTCGCCGCTCAATATTCCGCCACGTCATCTCACCTGGACCTTGTACCCCTCCTTCTCTTCCTCTGCCAGCCTCCAGACCACGATCTGTCCAGCCGTCCCTGCCACCACCAGGGCCGCTGAGTCGCCGCACAGCGCCACTCTCTTCACCGCCAGACGGGGGTCGTCTGAGTAAGGATCGAACACTCCCACTGAGCGCAGGGGAGGGAACTCCTCGTCCAGTTCTCGCTCGCGCCGGTCGCGGTCGTCCTCTTCTTCGGAGAAGAGCCGAGACGTGGTCAGCCTGGGGAAGGAGGAAGAGGTGAACACCAAATTGTGGGTTATCCATTGCCAGACAAAGGATACCGGACTGAATTATTGACAAATTGTTTGTCTAGCTAGCAGGCTCACCGAGTGGCTGAGTTGTGGTATGTGTGTGTTTGCGAAAGGCTTTCAGGTTGTGTCAGCTACTAAAGTCATTTTATTTGCTCGAGTGAAGTGAGTGAGTGAGTGAGTGAGTGAGTGAGTGAGTGAGTGAGCGAGTGAATGAGTGAGTGAGTGAGTGAGTGAGTGAATGAATGTGCGAGGGTGTGACTGGATGTGAGTGAGTGAGTGAGTGAGTGAGTGAGTGAGTGAGTGAGTGAGTGAGTGAGTGAGTGAGTGAGTGAGTCGAGGCAGCGATTAAGTGAAGAGTGAGTGACCGACTGACTGACCGGTATTTTGAACCGACAGGCGCGTCTGAGTGTTAAGCTCTCTGACCTGTAGATGAGTCGCAGTGAGACGTCTCCGGCGGCCCAGACGCACACGGAGCCGTCCTCGTGACCAGTGAGCAGCAGGTCCCGGCTGGAGCACGGCTCGCCCACTCGCTCACCGCCCGTTATCGGCCACGGCTGTGAAGATTGAACAGAGGTTAAGAGCTAGCCGCTAACCATACAGAATCGAACAGAACGCACGATGTACTATTGCCAGATGAGAAAAAAAGAGATGAAAAAGTTCATGGATCAGTAATTACCCAGGCACGTTTCATTATGCTGGCAGACTCTCGCTTTCCTCCTGAGATTCCCCTATGCCTTTTATTTGGTGAACTTTCTCTCCCCCGCTACTCGTTCCTACCAGTTACTTCCGAATGACCGGCTGTCTTTCTCCTTTCTACAATTCGTCCCCCTCCCTCACCTGCTGGCTAGCGGTCTGCAAACCTTCTGAATCGCCGGCTGTCTCTGTCTCTGTCTCTGTCTCCTTACCTTCTGACTGGCCGGCTGTCTCTGTCTCTCGCCCGCCGCCACCAGGCGCCGGTAGGCCGTCTCTCCCTCCCTCTCTCCCCCTCTTTACCTTCTGTCTCTGTCTCTGTCTCTGCCTCTGTCTCACCTTCTGACTGGCGGGCTGCCTCTGTCTCTCTCCGGCCGCCACCAAGCGTCGGTACGCCGTCTCGCTGCAGTCCGTCACATAGCTCGCCGTAGTGATGGCGCTGCTGTGCAGACTGCTCAGGTAGGGCAGCTGGTGGGTGGGCCAGCCCTCCGAGCTGAGATCGACGGCCACCAGCTCCTCCTCGGCGAGCACCAGCAGCGTGTGAGGGCCCTCCTTCGACTCTGAGCGGGGAGAAAGGGAGCCAGTCAGGGGTAGAAATGGTAATTTTTTTCAGGAGAATTCGTGAGATATGAAACAGATACTGTATGTCAGCACCTGGGCATCATATATAGCTATAGCCAAAGCGCTCATATTCCAAAGATACGCCGATCCGCTCTAGTACTTATCTAACATCACAAATGGGACGCTCCTCTACAAGTTACGGAGTGAACGCCTTCCGCATTCTACATCTTGTCGTTCAACAACACCAATCCGCAGCACCCCTCGCCCGGCCCCCACCCCTTTCGACCCCGATCCACCCCCATGACTCTCCCCACCCCTCGTACCCACCGGTTCCCTCGCCGCCGAGCAGCACAAAGTCGACCACGGCCGATGTGAAGTCGAACGCCACATGCTTCTCCTCCTCTCGCTGCGCGTCCCGTTTCAGTACAGAGACGGTGTGCTTGTCTCCGTAGCTGGCCCGCGGCATACCACCGCTAAACACCACCCAGTCGCCACTGTCCGGAAAGGCGAACAGTCAGTGGGAGGGTATGGTACAGTCGACCTTAGTGACGTGTGCAACAAGAGCGAGGTTGTAAAAGAGTGGTGATACGACAGAAAAACCAGCTGCAGATGTTAATTCTGGCAAGCAATGATCTCAAACGAAAACTATTTATTCTATAAAATACATGTTTAAGTTAGTCTCTGTCTCAATTTCGGTAGCACTGTGGCAATACACGATTACACCGCACCCATTCCCTTCTCTGCATTGCAATGGCCAGTAGTCAGCCCCCCGTGACCCTGACCTACCCAGGTGACCGGTATCCCACGACCTCAATGACCCAACTCCGTGACCTCTAACTCACCCCAGTGACCTCTACTGACCTGTCGGTGGTGACCCAGCTGACCCGAGTCATGCTCTTGCACGGGAACGGCCCGTAGGGCGCGTGAGGACCGTCCGGTTTACTCAGTTTCCTGGCGTTCCAGATGATGAAGCTGCCGTCGTTGTGAGCAGACATAAACTCTGCGCCGTCCCGCGACCAGCAAACCGTCTCCAGCGACTGGTTACACACGTACGTCTGTACGGGAGGGGAGTAAAGTTACACCGTCCGTATGAGTAGTTACACCGTCCGTAAGGGTAGAGGAACAATAGCTTTACTGTTCGCAAGGGTAGGGAAAGAACAGTTACACTGCATCTAAGGGTAGGGAGAGAAAGTTACATCGACAGTAGAGGGGTAACAATTACACAGTTCGTAAGGGTAGTGAAGAAATGGTTGCATTGTGGCGTAAGTCAGTGAATTGTAGAAGAAAAAACATCGACATTGAATAGCTTATGCTAGGGCAAACGATCAAATGAGCATATCCAATTAAAAACAGATGCTTAAGAATAAGACGATAATTAAATATGTCTTCTTAAAATGATGCAAACGCCGCTGCACATATATAGTGTCAAGTAGCTGTAGCTTGGCTCAGAAACACACATTTGGGCTTACATCTAGGGGAATCACAGGCATGAAAAGATAAGATGCGTAGCAAATCACACTGAGACTGCCACCGAAGTACATCACATTACCTCAACGAAACAAAGACAAAGCATAACATAAACCAATTGAAACTCAACAGTCAGTTACAAACCGGGGTAGTACACCCCGCCCAAGACACAACTATCTTATGCAGAAAGCACGGCTATTTAAGAGTTAATACCAAGCAACATAAATTAACTATTCTAACCAAAGAACAGAACGCTAACCAAACCTGTAAGCCGGGAAACTAGGAGGCACAATGCACCAAAATGCACCGCCCATGCTAAACAGTGCGGGTCCAAGTAAACACCCCCTGTATAAGCCGGCTCTAACAGAACATAACCGCGCAGATGGGTCCCGGTCAGTGGGCTGAGTTTGAGCTGAGCCGTGAGTTCTGAGCCGGCCGGTGAGTCGCTGAGCTGGGTGCCACTCTCGGACAGCACGGACACAAGCACGGCACACGCGGCCGACCGGCGCGAGCACGGGCGGACGGCGGCGAGCGGCGGCGGGGCAGAGCGTTCTCCCATAAACCCCAACCACACCCCATTGAATTACCTGGTGCCCTGAGACACCCATTCAACCGACCCAGAAAACTACACCCCCAGACAGGACTTTCATCTACAGACTCTCCACCTAAACTCAGCTTCCACCCTGTCTTGCTATATCGCTTGATATTCAGCCATTCTATCAATTATCGATGCCCAGCCCACAGCGCCAACTCTACTACAAGATTAGAGGCTGCAGCTGAAAACACGCTCAGAGTTCAATGCTTCCTACAGGTACCCTGAATGCTGCTGCTGCTGTTGCTGGAGAGTTGCGCTCTACGCTAGTCTATTCTACTCCCAGTGCCTACTAGCGAGCCAATTGGGTGAGTAGGTTCACTACCGTAGCTGCTAAGGTTGTGGCAGAGATTCACAGCGACCAGTACGTCTAACAAGCATATAGCAGCAGCAGGAACAAAAGCAACTACATTAGCAGCAGCAACGACAGGACAAGCGGAGAAGAAAGGGATACTGACCAACCAGTCACCGCCCCAAAACCCCGCTCTACTGGAAACCCCATCTTCACCACATTTATGAAACATCGAAGCCTTATATCCAACTCGATCCTCATGGTATCCTTATCCGCACAATGATCACCGTGACGCCAGACTGCCAGTCCCCGTCTTGCATTCTACCCCACCCTTACAAGTAACCTATAAAGTATGAACACCATCCCACCGCCGCCGCCGGCGCCGCCGTCCGCCCCTCCCGGGCCGGTGCGCCGCCCCTCCCCCCGTTCACACGTCACCGTACCTGCTCGCCATGGACCAGTTTGCGGTCCCAAATACCTACACGCTCGGCGTTCAACTGTTTGCGGTCCCACACCACCATCAGACCACGGTTGTAGCCGATCAGAATCTTGTCCGGAAACACCGGGTGCTGGCGCACGCACTCGACCGCGCCCGGAGTGACTTTGTAGTCGTCCGGTACGCTGGAAGAAAACAGGCGAGTAGAGGTCAGGTCAAAACAGGCCTCCAGATCAGGTTATTGGGTAGGTCATGATAGCTACGCCGGGATAGTAGCTCATAATACACTGAGGGCAGGAGAGGATAGACATACTGAAAGAGCGTTAGGTCAAATGGCAGGTCTCCCCGTATATACAAGATATGCCGAAGGAAAACTTATCGAGAACTACAATTTAACAAATAAATGAGCACCAGTTAAGGGAAAATCACATTTACAGACGAGGCCCCATACGCTGCACTACAGCTAACTTAGTGTATATGTGATTGGAGAAGAAGAGGTGGAGGGAGAGGGGGAGGGAGGGAGTGTAATTTCCTGGCGAGCGCTAACGATCCGCGGAAGGGCGGCCTCGGGGTGAGAAAAACACCCCCTCCCCGGGCCAAATGGACACAGAGACACACATACGGGGTTCCGGCGGGAGATGAGCTGATAATGGGTCGATAGGATGAGGTGAAATTAAGGTCAAGAAAAAAAAACGAACTGCGCTCACGTGGATCGGTATATGGATCAAGAACCAGCAAAACAGGCTAGTACAGCATACACTATGTCGAATTTGTGACTATGGAAACTAGCCCTTTGGCCACGTCAACCGAATAGGCTCGAGAAAAGTGGATGTTTATGACCGGTAGCGATAAACAATGTCAAAACTTACCAAGGATCTCGGAAGATAGAAAACCAGCACTGAGCGACAACAAAACCAAAAGTCTAAAGACTTGCGAAAGGTCTCGCCTTACGTCATCACACTTGACAGTCCACACTTTACCTACTGGAAGGCAAAGCTACATCACTCTTCTATTATCTTTTACGTATCTGTATCAGTATATCTAGTCCGTCCTAAACTCCAAGTCCTCCCCTCCGCCGCCCTCGTATCTCACTTCTGCATGACGACATCCTGGTAGATGATGTTGTCGGTGAGGCTGAAGGAGGCGATGTTGAGCAGGTAGATGTTGCCACCCTCAGTGCCCACCAGCAGGTGCTCCCCGGACGCCTCCAGACAACACGTCGAGATCGTCTTCAGCCTGCAGAAATGGGGTGAAGAGCGGCGTGAGCGAATCGGGGTGCGAACAAATTTATCGACACGTAAGACCCTATGTGACCAGCGTAGCAGCATTAGTTATAGCACCAACTAAAATATGCAAGATTGCGAGAGAAGGAACATCCAAAACCTTCGCGTCACTCTTATAGTGACAATAGACAGCTTGATCTCATATCTGCCGCCTGAATTTAGCGAGATACCCGGCATCCATGGTAAATAAATAAAGCTGAATCGATAATCATAATTCAACCAGCAGGGACTTTGATCTTTTCATGCTCAGATACTGCTCACATAAGCTGAGCTGAGGCCTGCTGACACAAGAACAGACAGCCGCAAATGCCTCTCGCTCTCCACAATATACTCCCGTAGGCCGTAATCGACCATTGACGTCATCTCCCTTTTCGCTTCCCCTCCGTTGGGGGGGGGGGGGGGGGGGTAGTTTCACACTCACTTGCCCTCCATGGTGGTCGAGTTGACCTCCTCCAGCACGGAGGTGCCCGATCGGAAATTCACCTCCCATAGATGCAGCGTGTTGTCGTCGCAATGGGTCACCAGCCGACCCTGCCGGGCGCACACATCACGTGACCATACAGCAGAGCCACAGGGCAGGGCACGTGACCGGCCGCGGGCGACGTGTTATGGGCGGCTAGTGGCAACGGAGGGCGAGTCTGGTCGAAATAACTAACGAAATAAAACCGGAGCAGACACGGAACAAAAACAGACGGCGGTGGGGAGGGAGGGGAGGGGGGAGATGACGACATCGCTTGGCTGACCGCCGCGGCGGAGAGGAAGGGACACGAGCGGGCGGGGGGGGGGCGGAGAGGCATTGGGGGGGGGGGGGGTCTGGGCGGTGTCTGTCAGCCCTACGTTCTCTTCTCGCGAAACTATGCAGCTCAGAGAACCGTGCCGCCCGTCTGGGGCGCGTGCAAAAACAGAGACCCAGTTAGCTAGACGTCAGCGAAACGGTACGCGCTGGCACTTTGGATGGATGGCAGACTACAGAACAGCGCGGCGCATAACATAAACACGGTGAGGTCACACACACAAACACAAACACACACAGTATTTGGCTGCATTGTGAGGGCCCAGCAACCATTCCGGCGACCGGGCGCTATTAGTGGGGACACGGTGTTACTAGCTACACAGGTGCTCTCGGGTTAAATGTACCGAGTCACAGTGAAGTCACAGCACACACGCTCTAAACACAGTGAACACACAGAAACGAACTACGAAACCTTTAAATCTATGTCCGCTAATTAATGCCGTTATTTGGATTGAGGGAACGACCGAGCATTGCATTTTCTTTGGAAAGAGTGGCTCGGCGGAGGAACATAACTTAAAAAGCTTGCCTAGGTGTCAAAATAGAAATTACAGATACCTACTGGAACTATTTATTCGTACATGTAGATTGCCCTTCCCGCTAGTTGGCGAACTAAAAAACTGTCAACAGGCGAATAAGATTTCCCAGCACCCCAGCTGGTTACAAAGTGGCAGGCACGGCTAACTCGGTAGTGAACTCGGCTAATGGGACCCTCTCCCTCCTCTCCCCGCGGCACCGTTCTGCCCCCCGGGGGGGGGGGGGGGTAGGACCACTTTGGCAGCAGCGGCTGCCAGCCGGTGATCTAACACCGTGTTTTCCCGGCACATGTTCAGTGGGCGTCTTCCCTTTGGTCTGCGAGATATTTATCGGGTTTTGCTTGGCAGGGAGGAATTAGGCTACCGTCTTCTGGGGTCCACATCAAATGTAGAAATGAAATTGTGTGTAATAAATGGTAAAACTCTTGCAACATAGAACGAATGCAGCGCTACAACAATGTTACTTGCCTAAAGTCAACTTTACTATACATTTCCTTCAAAAAATGTTTCTAGGCCATGGGCCATCGCCTGAGTGGCTGCCGTCCCGTTAACGCTTGTTTTAAAAATAAACAAGCACTTCAACTTTTGGGAACTAGTTTGAATTTTCATGAGATTCGGCAATTAATTATTAATTGGTATTCCTCAGGGGCGTTGGCACGTGTGGTGGATCAATCATTCGGAACACTGAGGGATATACCCGAATCAGCTACCAAACACACACACACAGAACAGCACGCAAAATATTAGACGTGTGGAAAGAATTAAAACGTATAGAAAGAAATGCGCATGGAAAGAAAACCACTGTAGTCATAATAAATTCCCGACACGCACACGAATTACGAACACACGCATAACAAACCTGCACACTTCGTAAAGACACTCTAAAAGAAAGACTTTTAGAGTAGCCACTAGTAGCTCTAATGTTCTGCAAAACAACTCAATGTTGTGTAAAGGTTAGGAACCTGCATCAGAGCACACTTCAAGGTGAAGGGCCAATACAGCCCTAATCCGAACCCCTCAGCCAGGTCACGTCAGGTTAGCCGAGGTCAGGTCAGGTCATGGGCGTGTTACTGGTGCTACCTAGCTGCGGGTCACTATCACTCACGGTCACCAGTGGACGATATGCCTTCTGTTTGGACCAAGCCTGAGGTCTCCGCTGGTATCAAACACCAAGTTACACGGTTAGACGTTGGACGGGGTGACAGCGAGAAAAGCGGGTGGGAGGATTTTGAATGATTGGGGGAGGGGGGGTGAGGGAACAATAGAGGGGAATATACTCCGTCTCCGTTATTACCGGGATCAACACAAAACACAATACACCTTGATAGAACAAAATGACTGAGAAATAACTAATGACGATGTTGTGCCTATGGGTAAAAAGTACGTGGTTTAAAAATCGATTAATCGATAAAATAGTAACAATGGGAAACAACGGGTCATGCCCACATCACCAAAACAGACAACTAAGACCCGGCCCACATCATCCTTGCACACATCCACAGCTCGTTCAACGACAAGCCACCTTCTACATCCCTCACGGTTCAACATCTCTATGATCCTGCCGTCCCGCTCGGCCCACAATCTCACCTGGTTGGGCAGGAAGATGATCTGTCGTACGGCAGACTCCACGTTCTTGTGCTGTCCGTAGAATTCCACTCCAGGCTGTCCGTAACTGTATAAGAGCTGGTTAAGGAAATGAGGCCTTCGCAGGCATTCGCAGTTGTATAACACGGTAATGCACATCAGCATAGAAAACAGGTAGGCTCCCAGCAATAACCAGGACAAAAACATGTTATAAGCTTAGGTGCATCAGCCCAGCTGTATTATTTACGTATACAACGGAACGAACAGCATTGTTCAACAGTAAATAGTTGTGATTCACGCACCCAGCCAGACCAAGCTAGATTGAACCGGCCACTGTTTTGAATGCGCATTGCGCAATCATCGGTATCAGTACACGATTTTCCGTTCTCATCAAGGAATCGCAACACACAACGCATGCGATTTGCACACCCACAATTGTATCACAGTTGTAAGGTTATGAGGAAATGATCCCTCGTTTAGAAAACTCATTGGCCAATGCTGGTCGGTGTGACCTCAACCCCATTCAGATTCCCCGTCTAAAAATTCACCCCGACCCGCACGTAAACACTGACAAACTGCACGTTTTCTCGCGCACATGTGTTACTGCAACACCGCGGTGCCGCAATCTCAACCACTTCACGATGGAGGGAGAAAGCGCTGCCTGCGTGCTCCGTCTCGGGCACTTTTTGTGGCCGAATTCGACGCTGCTGCTACAATCTCGGCTCGCGGCCAGTCCAATCTGAGATGGGAGGGAGGCGATTGTTCGTAGATTGGATGGAAAACGATCGAGAGGGTTCGGTTCAGGCCGGGCGCTGCTGTGGAAAGGAGCGGATCGCGGCGGCTGGCTCCCTTGGGACCGTGAGTCTCCGGTGTCAACTGACTTTTACAGGGACCATGGGAGTCCTCCGGAGACCCCTGGAGATCCACGACCCGACACCGGCGGGGGAAGGCAAAGTGAGAAAACCAGGGAGCACCCACGTTCTAGTAAACCAAGTTGTCCGTGAGTCACCATCGTATCCAAGAGCGTTGTCAGCCTCTATTCCATATTCATATACCGGAATTCTGCCGCGGCTGGTCGGGGCGTTTCATCTCCGTGTCCGTAGGGCCAGTCGTGCCGGCCTGGCGGAGGCAGTAGGGGCGGACTATCGGCGGGTTACGTCAGCCGGTCGTGACCTCTGCCTTTCGTAAGGCCGACATCTGGTCCCTCCCTGCCCAGAACGGCCATCCACAAACAGTCTCTAGTTACCTCCCAAGTCAGCTCAATACCCCAGCCGCAGTATTCCCTCTCCAGCATCCGTGCTATCTCACTGCCCCATCTAAAGACAGACTCTCGACTCCCTCCAAAGTAAGCCACCACACTGCACCTGCCCAACGCCTGAAGTCATCTTCCCTTTTCCCCAGCCACCCCATTGCCTCATTCCCATAGACCAGCCTCTTCCTCTCCTAACCTAGCATCCACCTCCAGGCCAACTCCCCCTTCCTTTTCCCCAAACACCTGTGTAGAAGCTAGCCTCGACAGGATCCAGCTGCCACACCTCCAGGTCAGCTGATAACCCCACCCCACCTCTCACCATGAAACACACGCCTGACCTCCTTCTCCAAGCGTCTCAGTGCGAGACAGACCACTCCACTCAGCGTTCAATTAACGAAATGCCCGCGAAATGGGCCCGCTGGGTACGGGTGAGCCGCTCTAACTGCCGCTGATGGACTGGCCTGGAGAGGCAGAGGGAGTGTGGGCTGAATAGTGACCAACCTTCTGACCAGCTGTGAGCATGAGTGACTTTGTCGGAGCAGCACATAACCTCCCAACAAGAGTATGCGTGCCATCAATGCCATCAATAAAGCATTTCATAAGAATATTAAACGACTGTTGATGTTGACTTCGTGTTTATATGTTGAGTGTTGTTGTGTGTTGTGTTGGTTGTCCTTCACGCGTAACCGTACGTCCTGTCCGTGCCCATGCATTACACGGTTTCGATCGCATGCAACAACTCCAACTCATGCAACAAATTGCCGTAAATACTGTTTACCATTGCCTGTATATGGTACACGTATCCTCAAAGGCGCCCATCAGACGGTGGGATGGGATGAGAGAGCAGAGGAGGAGAGCGGAGAGAGGAGAGAGGATAAAGTCACGAACTCGACTGGCACCACGCCGGCTCCTCTGAGGTCATTGTTTACCGAAATTGGACAAACATGACCGGCACGGAGGGGAGAGAAGGGAGTGGAGACATGGGAGGGATTGGAGTCTGGACGGGGTGGATCAGTGGCTTTGGAAGACAAACTTTGGGGACGTTAGATGTGAAGCGACATTAGCTGTTAGATGACATTGCACCTATATTGCTCACCAATGCAGGTACATTTTTGACGGATTGCATTCATCATCAAGTATATAGTTAACGCATGATGATGACGTATGATTTTGTTGAACCTCTAAAATTAGCAAATCGCCAGTTATTCCACCAAAAGCTCGCAAAACAAGCGTCGTGAAAGTGACAACACCGGTCGTAGGCGGCGGGACGGGCCATCGCTTATCGCTGAGTCACCGGCCTGTCGCCGCCATAGACAGAGGCAACTAGACAGACACACAGACAGACACACAGACAGACAGACAGGCGGGTTCGTCTGGTGGGCGTCTGTAAACATTTGGCCTGTCGACGGCACGGGCCAGCACCCTCCTCCCCCTCCTATCAGACAGAGGTTATGGGCCCCAGCGACCCCAGCGGGGCGGCTATACCCCACGTATATCAGTTAATGGTGCGCATTGATACCTGGGGTGAATATTTTTTGGCTGCGCAGCGACCACCATTACCGGTCGCTTGGTTACATTGGTCCACCCGACAGAGCTGTCACAGCTTACACAGAGCTGAAACCGCCTGACACCAGTCAGCTCAGCCCGACACAGCTGATACAGGTGACAGTCGTCTCTGATCGGGATCGATATGACAGCTGATAGCAGTGCGGACCTGACGCCATGGTGACTGTCATAATTTAAAAAATTACTCCCTGTTTCTAACTGGGAGCCGATAAATTGATGGATCAAATAAACATCACGTTTTTAAAATGTGGCGTAGATTTTTTCGCAACAAAACAAATAAATTTGGGTCGAATGATGAGTAGCGACGTCATCCATTACGTCATCTGACACCTCTGACGGGTCGCTAGATACGTAGTTTGACGAGCTGACACCTGAAACACGCAGACTCGTCGCCAATCTCATCAGAACCTCGGTGATTCATTAGTAGACGAGCCAGAGGGGCCACCGCCATCCGACGTTAGTTCAAACTACCACCACCAGGCGGCTAGACGCTCCCAACTAGCAAATTCATTATTCACACCTGTGTGGCTCTCAATCTACACACCGCTGGCCAGGTCTCACAGCGTACGGAGGACAAATTTTGAGAGCCTCTGGGACTCGCGAGATGAGGCCGCGATCCGGCCATGGGGGAGGGCTGGGAGAGGGAGGGGGAGGTCAGGTGGGCGTGGCAGGCCGGTGCGCGGCTGAGACCGTCTGCCGAAACTAGCGAGGGCCTTGTCGACGGCTCAGGACAAGCTCCTCTGTGAACTAACTAGGCTGTGGAAGAGGATGTGCTCAGCGTCAGTGAACGTTTCTATCCTGACGTTACAACAGGGTAGGTTTTCTACAACGCCGTTCCTGTAGCTGAAGTTGGGGGACCCAGCAAATGAAAGGGCACCCTCGAATCTCAAAAACAAGATTTTCAGCACTAAGTCCAAAGCAATCTATGAACAGAATCGAAATGTAGGCACGGCGGTTGCCTCCCGCCCCTGGCTGGATCCCCAGTTGCATCATCAACAACTCCAGCCCCTTCCTTTCGTTTCTCCTCCTCTCCCCTGCGGCGGCGGTGTGGGCGGGTCCACGAAGCCAGCCAACAGTGGAGTGCCAGTAGCTGCCCATAACACAGCCGCCCGGCGCCCGGCCCGCCGCCGTGGCCTTGAGGGCCGCCGGCCGGGGTGGCCCGAGCCGAGAGCCGGTCCCCGGTCCGACGAGACGGCCGCAGACTCCTCAACAGCGGTCCGCGGTCATGCAGGCTTCGAGCTAGAAACAAGCCATGTACATATTTTCCGCGGTCCGTGGTCAGGCTTTGAGAGTTTGAGAGCTTTGAGACCCATCGGCCAGCCAGAGTTGGATGACAAATAAATGGCTGGTGATTCCAAGACGGCAACGTGGACCCACGGCCAACATTGCGATGACCCGAGTCACTTAGTGGCCCGGCATCGAAAGTGACCGATGCATGAGCCAGCTAGCTATGCTCCATTTCTAAGTTACAAAGCGAATACCATTTTATCATTTGACCAGGACCTCGGCCATCCTGACAAGCCTTACGTCAAAAGTCCCGAGCCTTGAGGCAGCTGGACAGTGGGCACGCCGACGTTTAAATCCAACGATATGACTCTGCCCTGCCGCCGAGTGAAAAGCCCGACACCTGCATCCACCACACCTAACACCCCATCCAATACTCCCCACACGCTCGAAGATAACGCCCCAATCGAGCGGCGCGCCGGCTCCAAAGGATGTTTATCCCATAGACGCTCCCCGTTCCGACGAAACCCAGCTGCGCAATCGGCCGACACGGCAAATATTGACCCTGTGACCCCCTTCTAGTGGCTGCCAACACCCCGAGCGCGGCTCTAAAATCCGCCGTGTTTGGGTGATCTCCACACGATGGGGAGGTGATTTTCACAAGAGCGTTCATATAGGCGCGGATATCGATAGCGTGGCTAACTGAAAACGCTGGGCGTGGCGCCAACACCTAGCCGGTAACGTAAGCCGTCAGATAGGGTATCGCCGAGGGTTGGGCAGGTGTAGAGCCAGGTAAACAGGGTAGCAGAGCCAACCACAGCAGTGAACTCGGAACGGCAGGCTGAACAGTGTTGCGGGCGTTGCACCAGACTTGTGGAGGCCGGCATGCTGTAGGTACCTTATTTACGAAGACAGGCACTGTATTCAACTTATGAATGCAGGCACAATGCCCATCACCGCCCAATTCTACGAAACCTTCGTCCAGGCATCAGCTAAGGGAGCATCACCTAAAAAAGTCCTCGCAGCTGTGTCAAAAAGGCGTAGGT